TAAAAGTTGTTCGCTCAAGATTGGCTTCTTCAGTGGCTGCTAGTTTGTTTAGCAGAGAATCCAGAGTAGCTGAAATTAGTCGACGGTTTGATCTATACCAGTGTACGAATGCAAAGTTCCGTACCACATTTCTTCGCGAAATCAGATCTCATCATGATTTTTAATGCAACACATATGTTCGCAATTATGGCTAATTATAAACTTGTCCGAATACATCCCATCCTAACAGTGTTTATATATAAATACGCACGTATAGAAATATTCACTAAAAAATATCCCGATATAATACTTAATTCTACGAAATCATATTAAAGTCTCTAATTATACGAGGCTCCACCAGATGAAAAGCTTTGTTTAAACGCTCTTGAATATTATACCACAAAAGGGCACTCAAATGTACAACGTCTGTGGCAATACAATGGGTTTTCTATCCATCGTGGAGTCATCAATAATGCAACAGTCAAATTTCATAGTACGTTAAAAACAAAATATATATCACATCATATTGACACCACAAGTATATATAAATTTTTGAATGACGCTTACTGTTAGTCCAGGCCACATTGGAGAAAAAATTCTGTGATAGCCGAAAAGAGCGAAAGGAAGTGTCTTGCAGGTAATGTGATTGGTCAATGATTATCAACCGTAAGTTAATTGCAACTCATAAAGTTCAACTGAAAAATTAGCAAAACGTAATTCAGATCCGTACAACCTTCAATCGGTATACCTGCTTGTATCGGGATTCTCATTCATTCTCGGATGCTTCGTCCTCTGAAGACATTATCTATTGAAGTCTTTTTGGTAACTTTTTTTGTACGCTACCTTTGGCGCGTAGTCCGTAAGTCATAGTCCTCCGCTTACAGCATGGCTTAGAAAATACAAATTCACATCTTCTTAGCATTATTCGAAGGTGTAAGACAAGATTCCCATTACTTACCTTAGTTGCACGACTAGTATATATATATGACTAGACTAACTATACGCATAGACCATAAAATCTATGGTTTAGTTTTCAAGACCAGCGTGAATCGAGAAGAACTTTGCTCTAAGGTCGGACCTTTTATTCAATCTTTGATTTTCCTATCTATGAAGCATTTGAAGGAAACTAATAAAATATCGCAGCGGATTTATGTTCATATATATAAATATGATTTTTATAAAAAATATATTCCACATTTGTACGCTAGTAACATTCCACTATTCGTACCGTGAAGTGATTTTCACGATACCCATTTGACTACCTATTTCATATTGTCCCTATTTTAGAGGGTTGGTGTCAGTTATCTAAAACAAGCGTAAAGAACATGAAAGTGGTACATCTAGATCAGGGTCGTCCAACTCGTGGCCCGCGGGCCGCATGTGGCCCGCCGAGGAGTTTCGAGTGGCCCGCGCTATATTTTTGGAATTAAATAAAAAAAAATTGCGTAAAACTTCTATTTTTCGAGTGATGTAGTTAATATAAAGATTTGATACGAACAATTTGTTCACTTTCCTGAAATGCGCTCTGCTAGCCCTTTCAAACGAGCCATGAGTGCCATCACCAACTGGAAGATATCGATACATAAATAGCAGCTCACACACTTGGGCAGAATGGCAGTTTTAATGACCTCATAATTTGTCAGCACGTACTCGTACAAGCAAGTTTTTTCACAGATGAACCATGTCAAATCCCCTGTGAGATCACTAATTTCTGACAGTCATATGAAAAATTCGCTTCGCATTGATGCATCGTCCTTTTCAGCGAATATTGACAAACTTGTTAGCGAAAAACAGTGCCTTCACTGTTTCACTTCACACTAAAATGTCTACGTGTAGAAAAAACTTTGTTGACTTTACTGTATTTTTGTTTTTTTATTGTTCTTATTATTGAGAAAGTTTGGTGCGAGGGTTTTGTTTGTTTTTACATTAACTTTTGGTCAGTGTAGCAAAACTAGAACATAATTATTGTTTAGTGGCCCGCGCAATTATTAGTAAACTAAATATGGCCCATCGGCCAAAAAGATTGGCCGACCCTGATTTAGATGTTTCACGTCTCCCCAGAATTCCAAAAATGAATTAAATAACAAAGTTTTATATATATATACATATGCACTTTCATTTGAAAGGTGATACAATCATTAGAAAAACGTATAAAACGTCCAATACACCAAGTTGAAAACTGCAAACGACGTGGGAAATGCCACTCGTGAAACCTTATCAATAATATTAACATCGTCCACAACTGGCATTTTTATCGAGTTCACTCTTTTCTTTGCTCTTTTCACCATTGTCGATCGTAAATTACTTTCCTTCGTTTTTCGTTGCCTCAAAGCCGTTTTCCGTCCTCTATCGTTTCTTCCCTGCGAAAGAATTGTTAAAAATACGTTAACTAATTATCATGAGCGCTTAGACTTTGAATTCTAACATCTTAGCACAGTATAATTGGCGTTTACGAAATGGGCAATAGTGTGATTAGGGAAGTATACGATCCAAAGGCTGAAAATTGTACTATTTGTCAGTTATTTAAAGTTAACTTTTTCTCACTAGTCAGTGTAAGAAATCATTTTCACAGGACAAAAAATCAAAAACGTTGATGACAGATTAAAGTCATATTTTATTTTCCGAAATGAACTTTCGGGGAATAGTTGGAATTATAGAATGCATGAAGTGATTGTAGTACAGTATCATTGAAATTAAAAACCAAGACTGATCAGTTACGCCCACGAAAAACATAAAGGTATAGCCCCCACAAAAACTGTACAGAAATGGAGAAAAGTTTTGAGATAAAATAAAAGTATATAGTTTAGAGAATTATAACACAGTGGGCGGACACCGAAGTACAAGGTTGGAGACGACGTCCGACAAAATGTTTGAAACTAAAGCAGACTGGAAAAGAACGTAAGGCGTTTACAAGAACGGGAGTCAGAACCGAGGACTTACAACAAGTCGAAATAACCAGTAAGAAGACCAACTCTGAGGAATGCTAAAATCAGAGGACATATCACGAGGAAAAAATGACCAATGCAAAGTCAAGAAGTTTCGAAGACTGGGTTGAATCATCACATCAGAATATAAGTAACACTCTTAAATCTCGTTAAGACCGAGATGTTGAGCCTCTCTGTACATTTTTTGAGTAAAAAAGTATCATGATATAACACCATTTTGTCGCTAATACAATGAAAGAGCGACATTCGCGACGGTGGACTATTTCATCGGACCTTCCTGATGGCGCTATGGGATGGGTATAGGATTTAAGTCCATAGTTAACTATTTTAGAATTTGTCGAGGACGCCTTCTTTTTATGTGGGTAAAAGATTTTATATACATATATGCAATGGTGGGATTCAAATTTTTTGTCAGCCGGTTCCATCATACACATGTCATATTTTCAGGCGGTTCTGTTACAAAAAGTCATGTAATGCTAACCGGTTCGCTGATCTCATAGGATTCCGTGAGACGGTTCTATAGAACCGGTGCGAACCGGCTGAATCCCACTACTGCATATATGATATATATAGTCTATACTTTGGCATGAGACAATTTCATTTTGGCATAGTCTCTGAAATTGCTCCTTCAAAGGTTTAAAATCAACGTTTGCAGAAAAAAAAAACTATCTCTTGGTCACAAAATGGAGTGTCGTAATAGATTTTCTTTGATACCTTCCAGTAACTGGATCTTCTTGATTGTTGGGTCGAAGAAATCTTTCTATCCCTCATTACGGAATTATTTGATTGCATCTGAGTACGTCCGTCACCGTAAACACTGGTCTAAATGATATGATCAAATTTTACTCATAATTTCGATTTAAAAAGTAATTTTCTGATGACCCCTAAAGGTAGTATCTTTGCCTCCCAGCCATGTACCGAAAACATCTGTTTATTTGATATTTATATATGTATGCATACATTTTTTTCTTGGTTTGACAAAATGAAATAAACACTCTCTCCCTATTTTACTTACCCTGGGGCTTGTCCCGTCGCTTATGTCTACAAGTTCACTGTGTTGGTTTGTTCGTATATCATCCTCACTCACTAGATGCGATACATTGCATCCTACCAAACGATTCCGTGCTACGTAATCAAAGTAATAGTTGTCGACGAGGGCAGTGGTTTCATGTGATTCTGATTCTTTAGAAACTCTTTGGTTATGAACCAATTCTAGTTGGGACCCTTGAATCTGCGTGAGATAAAAAAAAATGGTTGGCCATAAGATGTCGCTAAAACCACGCTCATATTATACAGGCACAACAGCATTAAATTGTTATTCTGTAATGTAAATATGTGTATGACGGATATATGGAAAGGCTGATTTTACATTCACTAAAACATTTTTGCTTCATTATACTGTAATTATCAATCGCATTACTTTAAAGTTTTATCAATAATTTCCTTTTTAATCAAATATGAAAAACAACTAATCATTGGATTTGCCAATTCAGTGCGTTTAAAAATTATTTTGGCAAAATTTACGCGATAAAGACAACCTCTAAAAAAAAACTAAAATAAGTAAATAGTTATGATGCCAAAGAATTGTTCTTTACCCGAATTACTAAAATTTCATTGGGCCAAAACTTTTTAACATTTGAAATGTTTAGGGATAAAGAAACTTCTTTTCCTTTTCGCGAAAACGAAACACGAGAATGGGAGAACAGAGATTAAATTAAACTGTTTATTTGCTCATTTTCACATGCTTTAGTTAAGAAAAAAAATGAGATTTAGAGTTCCAGATATCAATCTATTCAATGAATACAAATCTCTACGGAATTAAGCAACATATTCACGATATATACATAGCGTTCTCTCGTGAATATTGATATTTTATGTTTCAATACAAACTTAGTATATTTTCTAGCTCGACCACCAAAGTCCGCATAATCGATCAAATTGTCAAACAGTTGTCTTGAGTGAAATGTTTTTTTACTATATAAACTAATTTATAGTATTTATTGAAGAGTGGGGAGTGTTACTACGTGTTGTGTTTTAAATTGGTGAAGAAAAGAGCGTTTTGGGCGTCAGTATTGACGTCATGCACACGAAACTTTTGCTTATACGAAATCGTTCTTACTTTTTGTGCACTCCATCGTCAAAAATATGGCAGAGGGGTAAATGAAATAGTAGTGGAATAATCTATTTTCTTCATGAATTGTTTCTAAGCAACAATTTGGAAAGTACATTTCAGATTTAATCATAATTTACAAATACCTGTAATTCATCTCGGATTTTCGTTTGCAGTTTCCTTTTAGCGCTTCTAGCTTTTCCACCATAGTATGTATAGTTTACAAATGCGTACTCAAGCAACGCCATGAATACAAATAAAAAACATATGATAAGATAAACATCCAATGCTTTGATGTCTGGTAACTTCGGAAGAGATGCTCGAACATTTGTGCTGATGGTCGTTATCGTGAGAACAGTCGTGATTCCTAAAATATAAACAGATCACTGAAACCATGCAACTGTGATAAGCAACATCTGTTAGTTAAGTTGTACGGTAATGTCACTAATGTGAAAAAGAAAGTTGAGAGTAAATGAGAGCTGGTAATATCTTGATGTAAGTAAGTTATTTTATTGAATTGAAAGAATGATGAATTCGTGTTAGTTCACCCCAACATGTCTAATGATTTCATTTTATTCGGATTTTCAAATTAGACATACAACTGGCTTCAAAACAAATAAAGACAAGTAAAATTAATCAATTATTGTCTAGGTTTTGATTGTAAACTCCATAATAGTAATATACCATTTAAATGCATCGTTTAAATCTATTGTCAATTTAATAATCTTTCGTTCTCCGATTTATGGTAAATATATATAAGACTTAGTTATTATGAAAGGCTTCGCATTTCATTCGAGATTGGAATTGATTGATTATCTATTAAAATCAGAATACAAATCAATAAAGCAAGATCTTCCATTACAAAAGTTAATCTTACTAATATATAAGTTGATACTTGGAGAATCTTATTTAAAAATGAAATCACTTTCTTTTTTACATTTATTACAAATTCCCTCGCTTACCTAGAGATACTCTTGCCGCTGTTGCTTCAAAATTAATCCAGAATGAAACCCAGCTTAGAATTGTTATCAATGCACAAGGCATATAAGTTTGAAGAATAAAAAATCCAATGTTTCTTTTCAATTTAAAACTGAGGGACACTCGAGGATATGAACCTGAAATATAGAAAAATCTAAATTGAATAATAAATAACCACGATAATGTATGATAGCATAACCCAGTAGATTATATTCTACAACACTTTGAACGATATTTTAGACATTTTTAGCAAAAATAAACTGCCGTTTATTTTACTAAGTAATTATGAATAATTATGATTTAATTATAAGATATTTTACCTGTTGCAAACGTTATGTCTCTAATTAATAATTGTGAACCAGTAACGTCAAATTGAGCAAGTTTCAAATTTTCGACTCCCGTTACTGAACTGCCGTCAATCATGTAAAATTTGATATCCTGTGTCGTATACCCATCTAAAAACAAGAGAGATATGCTCAAAAATATGGACACGTAGAGTCACATAATTTTGATGACGTCATAGCGAGAAAAAAAAGTAATAGCCTTCTGGAGAAAATTTTTATCTTTAGCCACTGAACATTTCAAAGCAATTGGTCCAGTATTCGAAGAGAAAAGCGATTTCTTCAAAACGTGTTGACGGAGACAATTAATAACAATAACAACAAAATTTTGAAACGATCGTTATTTCCACTACGTGTCCAATAATTGAAACCAATCACATGTGTATCAATTTGTAACAGATTGACGAAACGCCGACTCACGGATATCGGGAACGCATTAAACACGGGGAAAGTTATACGGAAAGTTGGTCAGATATATTATGTTTTGTATTTTCACTTACATCGCTACAAAAATATGAAAAAATTGCGACCATCGCAGGTTCGTAATCTCTAAGAGGGAATACACAATTACAATGTATATTACATAATAATCCGAAAGTGATGAATTTTTAATTTAAAGCAATACATGCTCCGTCGGCCATAATTGAGCGTTCAATTTCTATTCCTGCCAAAGCACCTGGGGTAATTAAAAAGTGCAATACATCATGGTGAAATTGAATTATTCATAAATCAAATTGTTAATCAATTAGTTCAGTTTACGGTCGAAACAAGACCGTAACAGTCACGCTTGCAAACTATATCTGGTTACATCATTTACCGTTGCATCATTTCATCAATGAACAACGGCCGTATTTTGAATATTTTGTTTCATAGATTCACTTTAAGCAAGGTTGTATGAAAATAGTCACTTATGCGGTTTGGGAGTTAAAACGGAGGAACTCGAAACACTTTGTTTATTACTTTTTTCTATTACAAAGTTCTGTATATATATATTAGTTAATGTGGTTTCTTCGCTTCGCTGACTAAAGAAATTTAATTCAAGGTGTCAATTAACAAATTTGAGTCACTTCAAATTAATAATAAAAAAAAAGATACGCACAACTTTCAATTTCCAATGTACAATTTTGTTCATCCAACGGATATCTCTTCAAATTCATCATGCATGCCAGTTCCGTTGTTATTCTGAATTCATATAAATTTATTATGTTATATTTTAAAATTGTGAACATAGATAATCCTGGATAAATTTCTATGGTACGCCACCAGTAGCATTATTGAAGAGTAATATAATACTTACCTCAAGCCATAAGTAATTAAACCATTCGGTTGCATTCTCAGCATTATGTTTTTTCTTGTGATATCGTGCATGAATGATTTTTTGTCATTCACAAAATATGTGTCTGGCACCTAAAATTAGATTGTATATTTTCATTTAAAAATATAATTTGAAATTCAATACAACTAGAAAAGGTAGTTAAGTTGAACATCAGGAATACTATTTATATTTCTCACCCATATATTTTCAACAACCCTGCTATCAAGAGTGAGATTTGCATCAAGATCACGATAGGCTAATCTACTATCTCGCCATCTCTGCTGGAAGTAAAGCGTCAACGTATAGTCCTGTAACAATGTGATAAACAAGAGTGTGTTGGTATTACATATGAAGAATATAATATTAACGAGAGCTGTGCGTTTTGTTTCAACTATACTTCGATAAGATTTTTTCAAATGTTTAAACAAAAAAAATATTCAATTTAAAATTATAAGGTGTGATTTAATTCATGTGGAAATATAGCATCCCTTGGCGCTCGGTGAGACAGCCGATGCAATTATTCTATTTATTTCCCCTTCGTATTTCTATACAGAAATCAATTTCCGCTTGTTTGTATTGTGTTCTCAGCACTTCGTTCGATCCCAAAAGTGCAACGAATTGCATGATCATCCATTGCTGAGAAAGCGACAGTGGTACATTTTATTAATTGATTTTAAATTGAATTTGCGAAATTTCAATACGGTGTTTAATCGTTTTGTCACGGTATATTTTCTTGGTGAATTCCCAGACGCAAATACTGCCGATATTCACAGCGCATCCGTCTACATATTGATTTTCTGTACCATATTGTGTCCCTAGACCTGTTTAATGAAGTTTTAATCCCTTTAGGAATTAATTTCCGTTCGATGATTCCTTACAAACTGATTTCACGGCTTCACTATTCAACAGATATCCAATCATTAAAGAGCTTCATTGTGGAATAATCTTGTTTATAAATAGATCATTTGAGCGATTTGAAATCCATTAGTTCCCGCGCTGTGGGAATTATTACAATTTTACTAAATCTATTAGCACTATGTAGAATGGCGTGTACCACTTAGATTTGTACTGAATCTAATCGGATGAAATATGAAACTTATGAACCCAAATGAAAAAATATTATCTTGAGGATAGATTTTGAGAACGCATGAAGTCATCATCTATGCGTAGAATAATATTCCAAGCACACATGATACAAACATATTCTAGCTAGTATATCCATCTTTCTATGTAAAACCGCACGGACTATTCGAAAGTCATCAATACGTAAAAACTGAATTGTTCGTTATAATAATTTTATTATAAGAGCATCAGCTGATATTTTCGAGTGTATTGAAGTAACGCCAATTCATCCAATAAAACCATTGGAAATGTCACTTCGTGTGCGGCTGCTGGGTTACAGCACAGCGGAAACATTTACATATTACAAGTTTGTCTTACTCCACATATAAAATGACAAACGCAAGCACTGTAGACAAACCATAGTCCCATACTATTTTCTCGCATTCCTTTTCACATTCCAAAAACCATTTTACTTCACATCAATAGCAAAAATGAGCCACGATTCGAAACGACGCCGCAGCAAAATCATTACGATTAGAATTAAAAAGTATTATGGGTATACTAATTAATATTACAGATTTATGAATCCAATTGAAGACTTCTACAAATATAAGATTACTCGAGAATATAATATTTTCCAATTAGTATAAGTGTATGCACGTCGACTATACGTACTTTATTTGGAAATCGGTATTTTAAAACAATTGTTTCACTCCAAAAAATATTAACATGAAATAATCTCAAGCGAGTATACTTCAGTCTTTAATTAAGCCTTAGTATTAATCAAATTAGTTATAGCCTATTGAAGAACAAAAGCCACCAAAATAGTTTGCGCTCTTGAGATAGCAACTGCTTCAAAACTAAAAACCATAAAGTAAATTACAAGCGTTCCAAAACTGATGACTAGTATGTTGCGTCAGTGGATACAAACACCCGAATCTGAATACAAATTATATACGCCTATATATGTTGCTCTTAAAAAGAGTACCTTATTTTTAATAAAGTCGCCAAAAAGACTTTATTGATTGAGTTATTGTTACGAAAGATACCTACAGTTCCAAAAAATAACTTCCAAACCAACACTTTTCGATAATTTTTTATAAATTACAAACGAATTAAGATAGGCACTTACCATGTTTACTTCTGACACTGCATCGATGCTCGCAATTTCTATCGCCATACCCACAGCCAGTGGTTCAGCTATTTGAAAAACAAAATTATGAATGAGTTAAGTTCGAATTTCACAATCTTTATCGTTTAAAACGTAAACGATTTCAGATTGTAGAGCTTTCCTTTCAATAAAAATATTTAAAAACAAACAAACACTTGACTTTGACTTACGTTTTCAAATTACTGAATAATGTTAGTCAATCAATTATGTTTTGGAGTGCATATTCACATCATAGAAATATCGTTTTTACGCACAAAAACCATGATGTTGAAAATGACAGGACGGATATAAAAAGTTATATACTTGTAATTTATAAAAAGAACGATATATAGTGTATTGAATAAAGGTAGGTATACCAAATACACGGTATTTCTACACTAAAATCGAATTCTAATATATTTGGGTGTGAATGAAGTTATCCAAATTTAGAAAAAGGGTTATGTTCTTCGGAACTGCAAAAATTAGCACTGAATTCTCGTATTCTTTATTTCAGAGAAGCAATTCCTAAATCAATTGAAATTAAATGCTCATTGACTTTTTTTATAAATATTGATGGTTCATACCCTAATTAATTATTTGTTTATTAATCAAATTATTCAAGATTTCTAATTACTCAATAGTCAGATATATTGATCGTAACAAACTTATGCTTCCTATCAGGATATTTATAATTGTTTTTGTATTGGGATTCGTTTGCGAACTTATATTATTGACTAACTTTCTCATCATCTTTACGATTAAATTGATGGGTGTATGCTTATGGCATTTTTTGTATTTATTAAGAATTGGAATTGGAGAATCTTGATTTCATGACAACATTAGCTACCCTAAGTGATTCAAGAGTCTTGCTGCACACTAACACAAATATATTTCTGTAACGTTTCGTCTGACGTTAGCTACGTTAGTACTTTTTGTTGCATAAAAAAGTCAATTTCAAAATTAAATTTGTTTATAATATAACAATAATGCGTATGTTTCACGAAAACATTCTAGCTATTAAAATATTATTTATATTCAATGCTCACCCCCGTAGTCTGGTCTCAATCTGATGTCATATCCTTTCCCCAACATTCTATCGAGTCTTTTTTTAATCTGCGCTTGAAGAACCGATCTTGATCCTGCGTAGGCACTAAATAGTAAAGTTCGGTCCGTAAAGATTGAGATTTAATTTTACTTACTTTTCTACCTATAATTTACGTAATTTTTACGAATATCATAGTTTTAAATTTTTAGAGTAAATAAAGTAAAAATCAAGTTAATCACGGAAAACTTCAATAACTAATTATCACGGATTGACATAGTTTTAACATTTGTAAACATGATTATAATATAAGGACCACGCAAGTAAGCGAGCCACAAACAAATACGTGTAACATGCCCGAAAATCTCGGAGATAAAAGAGAAAAATATTAAGCTTGTTTAATATCAAAATGGATTATATGGGTTCAATACATTTACGCTATATTAAACACTTGTAATATTTTAATCATAATTCATCATAAATTCTTTGCAGAACAAGCATACTTACTTTTCAAAGAGAATGCAGAGAAAAATGATCCAGTGAATCTTTCGAATTGCATTTTGCATTTTCTTTGGATTAAAATGTTTAAAATTTATATCACAATTTTCTGGATGAAAGAATATAAATCTCAATTAGAATAAACTGAATGATTATCAAATTAATGGGATCTTCTGAAATCGATGTCCGTACTTCATGATATGTGAATTTAAAATCGGATCATTTTCGGGTCACACTTCTACCTAACCTCAAATTGTCTAAATTTGACTACATTCTGCTAAAATTCAATCAGATAATAACGGATTTCTTTTTCAGCCGGTAACTCAAATTCTCGTAGTCGGTTGACCGCAGGTATTGAACTCATGTTCTCGCATCCGCAATATTTGTATCTCTAACATAGTCAGTATCTGGGTAACTAATACTCCGTACGCTGTAATATCATTTCCCAGTGCAAACCGTAAAGATGACCAATATATCGACCCATAAAGATGATATACGATTTAGATTGCAGTCGGTAGATAATGTAGTTGAGTATGAAACTGAACTATACCTAATAATGATACGCATTCTGCTTCCACGTTTTCTGTGCATCCAGGTTTCCCAAAGACTCCACTGAAAATGTCGCATCTGTGCTATGCCTTTTGTTGCTAGCTGCTTGCGCTGAAGTCGAAATGTATCTTTCCTATATTGATGCATCTACGTTCGTTTTAAAAATCAATTATTTTCATCGCGATAATTATCGTCACATGTGTTACGTCGGAAAAACGTAAATTTAACTTTACTTTCAACGTGAGCCGATTCAGAAGCCCCCAAAAAAGTAATTGTTCCCTCATCTTATTAACGATGGTTGGCAACTTTTTGTAATATTCTGATTTTCGAATATTTCGCACGCAAACATTATTTTGAATCTGTAGTCTCGTACACACTCCATTGCGTTCGCCAGACTAGACTGGTGCAAAGAAAAAAATGCAATCAATATTTAATAATGTCCAACAAAAAAGCTTTAAGTGCGCTTACGATAGGGTCAATGATCAATATTGCAAGAACCATCAGCAGGGTAACGTACCTGTGGTGCGCCATATAGTCTGGGGAAGTTCGATATGTATCGTTGGAGAACAGCAGGCTTAAATACCTGTACCAGGCAGAAGCATTTGGCTATTGCTTCGAAAGTTTAGTACATTTGGCGGTATCAAATTCTATGAATCGGAACTAAATTTTGAAGCTAGTTGCGACAAAAAATTCTATGGCGGGAGAATGAATAATATGCACTTAGCCTCTTAGGAATAACCGCGGGACTAATGTCTCGGACAATAAAATAGAATATTTATCATTATTTTAATTTCAACATAGAATATGCGTAACAGTGGGACCTATGACAATGAGGATTCTTATGAAAGCGATAATTTTTGTTCTTAACTGCAGCTTTATTTTATCAATACTGGACACACAGGCCATGGCTGAAGGCACCAGGTTAGTAAAACGATTACAGTCAAAAATATCCAGTGCTTCTATGGATAAAATACTAAATACAGTGTCGTTATTTGTGAATATGAAAAATGAGCAACATTGTTTGCGTTCTTTATTTTTATTTATTTGACTAGATAATTGCCTCAATAAACAGGTTTGTAAACAAATTCAAAAAGTAGTAGCGAAATGAATGAAATTACATTTTTGGACCAGCTTCTTATCGGCAAAAGTGGCCTTTATTTCTTTGTGTATCTCTTTTACTGTTTTACTGTTTATCTCCTTGGCTTTTGGAGTCAGGTTTTTGCACGATAAATTCTGTGAATAAGCTGTTTTCCTAACCACGTTCATATCAACTGCTTCTAGTGTAGCACCAGTTAATATTTCATGATCTCTATGACGAATATTTGATAAAATTTGAGTAATTTTTAGAATGTGGCAGATTTTAGAATGCCGTTTCGGGCGATTTTGTATTAAATATGAAATCTAAGACCATCGGAATAAAATATACGAAAATGTGAAATTATCTGGATTTAGTCTATCGTTGAGTTTTTTTGTTTTGTTCCGGAAGTTATTTATTTCTTGCATACCTGAGTATCCTAAATATACATATGGTAACATATATCCTTATTAAATTTATTTGCATTTCCTATAAATTGATTTTACGAGTACGCTTGATTGAGCTAAAATATAACGACATTCATTGATTTAAATCAGTAATTTATCACCACAATTTTGACGTAGGCCCGGAGCTGAGGTTTTTATTGGATCCATTACCTACATCTCATCTGATCTGAAATCTCCATATCGATCCATTACGATGGGTCACATTCATTCATGATTTTATTAAATTAAAACATGACATTTTGCATATATACGAAGTATGAATAATTGTAGATAAATTTGCGATATAAGTAGTTGCGTTCAGACGTGTAAAGAAGAAAACAGGACAGAATGGGATAAGTATATCATATTATCAACCAATTATTGTTGTTGCCTATGCAAAAGCGTGGGTGGTGGAACAATCCGTGAGCAAGCAGAAGTTACGTGATCCACGCTGCGACGGCGTGTAATTCAGCAATCCTCACGTACATAGTTAATTAGAACTCACAAAACCAAACAGGGTGCGATACCAAGCAAGATTCACCAGGCATAGACTCAAATATACAATACCGAAACGACTGTTTAATTGATTATTCAATTTTTTTATGGCGTGAGAAATTTGGTTTTTATTTCAGCAATAAACCTTGTGGAGACAGCAGTACTTGTCCAGAAGACATTTCTAAATTACTGGACAGTTTCTTGGAGGATTACGACAGCCGAATAAGACCGGGATTCGAAGGTTTGAAATTTCATTCAAATGCCACCGTGCATTGTTGCAAAGCAGTTTTTCAAGTGATTTCTTCTATTGAACACCTTTAAACTAGAGTTGAATTTACTTTTATTTCTACAAATCTAAATAAATTTCATTGTTCGAGACTCAACTCACGTTGTGTAACTGACTCAAATATAATTTCCTAATTGAGTAAAGGTGTGAGTTAAGTAACAAGCAACAGCAATTCAGAACTCTGTGAACAATAGGATTCAAAAGTGGAAATATCGAGATCAAAATATAATAATGTACGTCCAAATCTCTAACAGTTGAGGAGGAATAAAAAAAATTTTTACATGCATGAGGTTTATTGAATATTGGTTTAGAAAAATCCACAATGAACAATTTTAAATTATCATCCAATGTTTCAAGATGTTTCCAAAATTTCAAAGCTTAAACTTAAATCTGTTGAGTATATTGATGTTATTAAAATGTTTATTTAGAAAATATATTTCAACGTTTATAATCGTTTTAATATTACGTTATATGGAATAAAACATTCAATGATGTCTTTCATTCAAGATTTATTACGATCGCATGATTGCAAGATGTGAGATGATTGTTTGGTTAATCACAGGTTATTAAATGAGATTCTTTATATATATATTTTGTAGATGGTCCAACAAAAGTATACACCTATTTTCATGTTACTGGATTTGGACCTGTTTCCGAAACGGACATGGAATATACGCTTGATATGTTTTTCAGACAAAGGTATGTAATTTATATTTTAAAGTTAAATCCTAGTGGAATCAATAGAAAAGAAAACAAAGCACAATAGCAAAACAGTCTGCGTGACAGGTACTGTATAAATTATGGTAAGAAACACATGCAGCAGTCACTGAAGGTTTTCAAAACTTCCTGGCGGAAGCCAAATCTTTATGTGTGTCAACAGTGGTATATAGAAATTCACATAAATTATAACATTACGATAAATCTAATTCGCGCTTTTTTAAGATGGAGGGACGAAAGAGTTGCTTTCAAGCATGCAAACATTAGCGAACTGAAACTTAACAATATGATGGCTCAAAAATTATGGACCCCGGATACATTCTTTCGAAATGGGAAGAAATCCATTGCTCACAATATAACTGTTCCTAATCGTCTTCTTCGTATTGACCCAGAAGGCAATATCCTATACACAATGAGGTAAATTTTGAATTTATCTAAGACAACATATCATGTTCGCATAATTTTGATATTTCAGCTGATTCGTATTTTAGTTTGAAATTATTCTTTGTAATTATTTTTTGTAATTATTCTTCAAAATCTACCAATTTTAAGCTTGACTCGGATTTTGATCTCAATTCCTGACACTAATATTAAGTAGAATAATCATTAAGAAAATATTTTTTTCATAGATTGACAATAAAAGCAAGGTGTCCGATGCAATTGATTGACTTTCCGATGGACGTTCATACGTGTGTTCTACTCTTTGGAAGTTATGGATTTACTTCGGTATGAAAAATTTCGGTATAATTGTAATATGTTATAAATATTATGAAAGTAAAGAGGTATATTGGTGTGAAAAATGAAACCTGTGGTGAAATTTTTGCATTTTAGTGATTGTTTATTCCTAGCTAATTATTTTCTTAATTTTCTTATACTTTCAATACTTAACAAATACAAACTATTTACAACAGGACCAAGTACAGTTTTATTGGTATGAAGAAAATAGCACGACACCAGTAGATGTTCCTGAAACATCTTCGCGGCTAAATCAATTTTCGTTGCTAGGACATTCTTGGGACTCACATACTATTAGAACCACTACAGGCAAGATTGCACTACTTGTTAATATATATATATATCATATAAGTTTCGTGATCATAATATTTATATTTCGCGTTAGCATATTGGTACAACTATAACAAAAATTATAAAAACAAAGATTCTCATAAATATATAATGCTAAACGTGCAGCCACAGAACACAAAGATATTTGTAGTTGCACATTCCTCTCCCCGGAAGACTGGTTTCAGTGAAAATAAGTAAAAATTAAACCAACAAGGAAATTCGAATTACTGCTTTTTTAGTTTTAGAGAAAATCAGCAAATTTTTAACATAATTTTCAATCAATTCGAACTGAATTCTTGAAATTCACATGAATCAATCAGCCCAACAACTCGAAAAATGTTTAAAATGATAATTCAGAAAACACATTCGGAGTAGATGAAGAGTTTTTGTTGTTGTTTTTTCTTCCCCAAAAATGTATGTTTACTTTAATGCTTTTAGTATTCGTTTTCACAACAAACTTTCAAAACAAACTGTACTTGTTATAGGTGACTTCTCTGTACTTCAGACAAAATTTCACCTACGTAGAGAAATGGGATATTTTGTTGTTCAGACTTATCTACCGTGCATCCTGATTGTGATTCTATCGCAGGTGATTACAATCTACAGTGTTTTCCGTTGGAAACGAGTATGACTCAATTAGATTGGTGGCATGTATATAGGCGAAATTTGCACATCACCAACTACCTGCACGGTTAATTTAATAAAACTTCAATATCTTCTTCATCCAATGTCCCACTTCAAAATTCTGGTATTAAATATTTGTTAAAACATGTCAAATAAAATTGTAAATGATAAATTGTTTATATCGGTATGTTTTCTCTTACTAGATATCATTCTATTTCACAACGTCTTTTCAGGTATCTTTTTGGATCAATAAGGAAGCTGTACCAGCTCGAACTGTATCTGGAATTATGACAGTTCTCAATTTAACTACTCTGAGTATCAGTACAAGACAATCATTCCCCAAAGTATCGTATGCAACAGCGTTGGATTGGTATATCTCCGTTTGCTTTGCGTTTTGTTTTGCCGCCTTGATTGAGTTTGCTTCAGGTGAGATTTTTTTTATGTTATATTTTGTTAAAATTATTTAAAGAACCTGTGTCAGCCAAACCCACTCCATTCATTGTCTTTGTTTGAACGACACATAACTAATCCACAGTCCTTTGAGTTTTCAATAATATTTGGTACTTCACCGATATACTTCACTTGCACAATTCACGGATACGTTCGTGCATGAAGTCTTTCTGTCATAATTGGACTGGCGCTCCTGTGACCGTACTAAACCTCCTAGAATTAGATCGAATTTTGAAAATATGTCAAATAGGATAGGATTTACATATTCATCTCGGGGGAGAGGAAAGCCGATTAGACGGCTTAATCATATGGCAAACCACGGCCTCTCGTCCAGTTACCAGTCCAGGTCGGGTATGGGATTAGTTAGCCAGGTATTTGTTTTCGGAAGCATGGACTTGATGGTGGAGGAAGCCGTAACCGACCAGCGGTTACGTGAACCACCCTACGGCGGCGAGGAGTCCAGCAATCCTCTCGCACATGATCATCCCTGCATGGGATTCGAACCTGCGATCCCACGAAGGGTAATCAGAGATGCGGTGGAGTGCGTATTCCTAACGCTTAGCACGATGCGCCACACCGCCGAGATTGAGTTCCAATTGAGGTCCGAAATGCAAACTTCTTCCCATCGACGAAATCTTGCGTCGCTGTACTTATTTTACAGATATTATATTTAGACAGTGTTGTGCTAAATTTAGGGGACTGGATCTGAACTTTCACCCTGTCAGTGTACCTACCAGACAAAATAAATTTTTATGCCCGAAATATTTTTCCAAGAACTTCAGTGATGTGGAATTAGCTCATAGCTGTCTCACGTCAATACGTATTTACTAAAGTAGCGATGGGAATTTTAGTGGTCGCCCGTTACTTCGCTCAAACACCAATTTCCCTAATTTCTGACTGAACGAAAACATATTCTTGACAGTGAATTACTTCGAAAGAAGAAACAAAGAACGAAGAAAAAGATTGCCTGCGTTTGATAGAGACAGAATACAACCTGAAATATTCCAGACTTCACCGTTGAGAAAAAGGTCATTAAAAATATTCAATTTGATATTTAAGCCAGTTCGGGAATAAATAGAAAGTGATTAAATTAGTGAAATATTTGGAGTATCCTAGCTAATGTCGTTTGCTCAACATTGGGATCATTTTTGTGAGAATGCGGAAAAGCTTATTTCTTAAATGCTTTTTTCACGATATGACTGTTCCCATGTGATTCAAGCCAGTGTTAGGAGCTCGCGTTTGAAACAGATATACCTTCTGCTTCAAATGCAAGCTAGAAGATCTTACCTATTGCATATTTGTATATTTTATAAATAATGACTGATACATGCATGCATATAGATTCTTTATCTATCTTTCAATGTTTTGAATGAAACTGCGTTCATCACTGTACTATGTCGAGCATGAATCGTTAGCTGGTAGTCTGTGTTATAGGTATGTAAAAAACTAGCATTTTGCGAGACACATTGAGATTGGTAAATTTATCCTAGGAGCCTAGTGTAGCAAATAATTTTTGAAATTTTTTTTTTTTTTACTTGCAGATACATTCCCTTGAAACGTGGTACGGGAACGACCGATGTCAGCGTAGTTGATTTGTACAAAATAATAGCCGGACAACCAGTCAATGAGAATCAAAGTTTTATGTATTATATTCACTCCATTGGGTCATACTTTGTACCAGGTTTGTTTCATTTAGTTTCTTTTCCGATTAACTACACTGAAAAGTGAACGCAAAAACGATTGAAAGAATGTTGTTTCGATCGCGAAAGCAAAGTGTCATGACGCTTTATTCTGTCACTTGTTTTTTCTTAATTCGTTTTGTTACAGACGCAAAGCTGTAGTTTTTCCCCGACCACTGAAGATGAATGCATAACTATTCATATAGCCTAAGCATATAATTGTCGTCAAAAACAAATGCGCAAAAATTGGTCCAGAAAATGATAAATAAATGAATACTATTAACGTTAGTTGTGCGGCGGGAGACGCGAGGGACCTCGTTTGCGACACCACTAAGATTCAGATATTTTATTTCTATCATGCAAAAATCAATGCACGAAAAATTGGCAAAAGTGTTTAAGTATAACGACATTTAAGGAATGTAATTATACACATAAGAAATAGCGTCAGTGATTCATTGCAATCGATAAGAGGCCGCGAAGGACTGTGACAGTCATCGGGTCAGCGACACCTGTTGGCTGATTATTCGAAGGAAAATGACTAAAAATATACTAATTTAATAATTCAGGAGTATCAGAAATGGAAAATAACAAAATATCACTGGAGTAATAAATGACACAGCAGCGCCCTCATGAGTTTAACCATGCGTTCATGAGCAGTAACAAAAAATTGCTTACTATTAATAAGCTGAACTAGATTCTAATTATTCATGCAAACTTTAACAAACTTGGTTTAATTTAGTTGAGGCTCACAAATTATTAATATCAATAGTTCTCTTTTTTTGATTCAGACTACTTTCAAAATTCTGGCCACTTGAAAAATACTGCAGGTAAAGGAAGGTACGACGTAGACGCAGCGCAGAAACTTTTAGAGGCAATCAGTCCCCATATACGAGAAGCGGCAAATGCAGAAGTAAGTTCATAAATAGAAAAGGTGTCATTGATTGGCGTCTGTTTATACCGATTCGTGGAAACACGTAGCAATAGCTTGATAGAACATCAACTTTTGATAAGAAAATATAAATATCACAAATTTTATCTGTACATTGTCATGTGATTGTGTTACCTTGTCATTGTCTACAGTAAGCCGTAAGATACACCACAGCAAAAAACATTGGATCAGCATAAGTTGTATTTGTAAAAGGACATTCTTATATGAAAACCGATAACAGCACATCATGTAACTGACAACTCCTATACTAAATCATTTATCAATATTCAAGACATGCTGATTTCTTAATAATACAGTATGGACCTTTCCCCGACCTTAGACCCCCGAAAAATTCTTCTTATACTTTACCATTGCAAAATTTCGGGGCTATTTTAAGAGTGCTTTTGTGAGTTGGCGCCTGTAAAATGGGGTATGTATTTCAAACCATCATTATGATTCATCGCATACAACAATCTGTCTACGTCCTTTTTGCATCTTGCTGATTGGTCAATGTCACGAAGTAAACAAGGAAGTCGATGCACGGGGAAAAATCCATTACTATTTTGCGACCTAAACGTTACGATTTTTCTCTGCTCATAAGCCCCATATATATCGGACTCTTTTTTCTGAATAATATTATTTCTATGTTTCAGGGAAATGTAAGCAATATCGACCGAATATCACGAGTTGCGTTTCCACTTGCTTTCTTTGTCTTCAACATCGTGTATTGGTACGTTTACCTTTCCCATCGATCTCACGAGGTGTCGCAAAGAAGTAGTGGAGCTCAATAATGCAATTTTAGAATTATGCTGCGGTTTGAAAATGGAATATGAATGACTCTTCGTCAATGGTTAATGCGAACTCCTTGATATACACAATATTTACTTGTACAAAATTGTGGCAATTGGTTTCGCCTACCAGAGAAGTTGGTGCCAAGTGTTGGGCTCTTTCTACGCCAAAATCAAAGTACCAACAAATCTAGAAGTCTGTGACAAAATTGAAAATATAGAGCACGGACGCAGCAATAGTTTGATCGTAGAAAGACGGATGGAATAAGCAATTACATGCTGCATAATCTTCAATATTAATTACCAAAATATGTTTCTTCGGTTTTATTATGTCTTGGATTTACATATCACATTACATTTCGTAATATCAAATCTTGGGAATCTTGTTGAAAGTGTTTGCTTAAAATTCGATTCCGTATTGTATGCTGAAAATTGTTTCGTTGAAATACTACACCTTCTATTAGTGCTGGTAACGCACCCTGGCTATGGTGGGTATATCCGCACTTTATGTGAGACGATTAGGTGCGCTGTCACGAATCACCCACCGTAAGTCCACATTCTTCAGCGTCAGTCAGTTATTGTCGGAACCACCCGGGCTTGAGGGCGTCGCTAATGAATACTCCCCTATTCTGGATAACACAAGAGTTTCCGATGTACCGTATGTCTGTGCATCCAATCATATGCTGTAGAGCAGTGTTTAACAAAGTCTTCCGAGTGTTCCGCGGAAAGGATATCAAAATTACGACTAAATTGGTCGCCATATAGCGATCACAGGATCCCGAAGTTGTCGCCCAACTTGCGGTCGTTCAAAATCGCTTCACCGTCGTTCTAAAGAGGACTAACTTTTTGAGGGTATTGTGATTTTTGTTAACCGTCGGCCTAGCTTTCAAGTTCATTATCAAGTTTACAGCAATCTTTTTGGTTTTGCAAAAGACAAACATGTAGGCCCAAAGAAAAAAGGCAAACGGGTCTTCTCTCTCCATCTCTGCCTGGTTTTACTTTGAAATGCTCATGTTAAATAACTGCTTGCTTCAAACTAACTCATGTTAGCTAAACTCGATTTAGCATACAAATGAACAAACTGCAGCTCGTGAAATTGCAGTTAGTACTTCTATCTCTATTGCTACGTAACATTGGAGGCAAACAGTACGTAATAGAAAGTAAACGACATAGAAAGGCGAAATGAACCTACTGATTCATATACACAGCATTTAAAATAAGAAACGATAAAACATTTGTGGTAAATGCAATATGTTACATATTCAATCATATTTTAATTATGTTTGACAATTCTGTTAGTTTTCGAGGAGCATTTGGCTACACTAGTGCGCCGTGGTGCAAACTTTGGGGAACGCTGCATTACACCATTTTTCTCTATCAATTTTACACTTTCAGTTTTTTAGTGTTTCGCGAGGCGGGATAAAAAGTCTAAGTGGTCCGTGGCCAAAAAAGTTTGGTAAACGTCGCTGTAGAGTATAAATGATTCTTACTGTGTGCACGACATGCAATACTGAGAAAGACTTTTGATCATGCAAAACGTTTTCTCATATTTACTTTCAGGTTGCAGTACGTAGGCTACCCGTAGGAATTTGTATTTGCGATTCAAATGCATAGTTGTGGCGTGTCACGTGACTCACCACTAACGTTTTATTAAAAATCCTGAATTAACTGCATAGTAAAATGCATTTTAACATGTCCCTTAATTCAAGAATCTTGCTGCACACCCACACAAATATATTTCTGTAACGTTTCTTCGACCAAGGTCAGACTTCTTCAGACAAGCATTTTACAACTATGATACAACCACAACTATCATAGTTGTAAAATGCTTGTCTGAAGAAGTATGACGTTTTATTTTTATAAAAGTGAAGAATCAAATTGATCTACGTGGTCTATGAGAATGCATATATCCAGGCTTGTCAATGGGTAATATTTTTCTGTCTCATTCCCATCCCATCCCATAGCAATTATGCCTGTCCCATCCCATTGGAATAAAGTTCAATAAAATTGCTAAATTCATATAATGTAATTGCTACTAAATAGAACTACATGTACGTATAGACATGCAAAACAACAAAATTTACGGACTTTGTTGACTTTATATTCATAACTCTTATACAGGTCTCCATCAGCCCCTTCAGGAAGTATATTTTTAAAGCTGAATATATATTTGCTATTTATAACGAACAAGAGAGCTGTGCTCAAAAATATATACACGAAGTACATAACGAAATGTTTTACCATCATTTCCCCGGAAATCATACGGTTTTCGTGTCAAACATGAAATACAAATGTGTGCTGTCCCATCCCATGGGACGTTTCCAATTCCCATGGACAAGCCTGCATATAATACTGTGAATCTTGACGTATAGAAAAATCTAACGAAAATAACTTGAACAGAAGTGTTTGCAAAATCTGCAAAATCAACCTGGCAAAATTATACAGTTGAGGACAAATGGACTTAAATGTTTTGAAGGTTTTTCAGAATGAAATATTAGCTTTTTGAATTTGTATAAACCTGTTGAATTTACATTTTCGTCATTTGGAAGATCAGCATCTCCAGTGTTGAAAATATTTTGGTATGAAAGCAGGGACTTAATGCGAGAAGCACTTGTTAGTTGCAAAATTAATGCTAGTTCCTCATCCACTTGTATTCAGATTTATGATAAAATGAAGCAAAAAAAATTGAAACGTGTTCTATTTGCTGACAAATATTTTTGCTTCAAATAGAAAATACAAACTATTTTTAGATGATATCGCAACAAAACATCCAACCATATGCCCATGAATCACTAAAAACGTTACCTCCAAGCCTGAATAATTGATAAATTCCTCTTCCGTTTCATTATTTTTTGTTGTTTACCATTAGAGGCGCTAGTGGTATGTACGTTCACGGATTTTAATGATTGTGACTTCATAATAGCCCGCGTGCGTTCGCTGCGCGCGCCGCTTCGAGGACCTTGGTTCGTTCTTTTCAGGACTCCGAATTTGCAGATTTTTAGTTCAAGGTTTTAATTGTATTTTCATGTATTTAGAATTAATAACAATAACTTAACTTTAACTAAACTGTTTCCAATCAAATACCGATTGTTTTGTAAGCTGGAAGCTACACTGTCAAGTTTCAAGTACGTATTTCAGTTTGTTTTTATGTTTAGGAATTATTTCTGCTATAGAATGGTATGCGAATGCCTGTTTTTGTAATCAGTCGTAACTGTTATTTTACTGGGTTAGACGTGAGTGTGTTTAGTTCAGTTCTAATTTTCAGAATTTTGTCAAGTTGTTAATTTCAATTGTCGACATATTTTATGCCGGCACACTTATAAATATCATTTGTTTGTTTTCTTTAGAAAACCGTATTCACGTACTGTCGTATTCTCGTACCCCCAAAATCGTACTTCTCATACTGACGTACCTACCATCGTACCGACGTATATGTGTCGTAATTTTGTACGTATCTTCGTACACCTGCACTTTCCTGACAATAAACAACATCAACTGGTACTGTTATACGCGTCTTTTTGCATTGGAGTGACAAAATCAGTTTACTAAAAGAGCTGAGGGCACTCCAAATTTGGCGTCTACAATACCATTTCCCAAAGACTTTTGTTTCTAAATGCCCTGGAATTCATATTACGTGCTGAGCCTAGAATTGTATTTCAATCCCAACCAACAAATAACATTCCAATAGCTAACAAACAAGTACGCATCGCTCTTCACAAACCACATAGCACGCTGTTCGGTAACGCTACTCTTCACATTCGGACAGAGCGTGTGATTTTCATTAAAGGGCCTTCAAACGAATGTGTATTGTTTTAGCCCTAATTAATGAGCAATTTAACAATCAGGGTGCTTTGTTTACATTCTAATTTTCTCTGATTCATTATACTTACCATCGTGAGATAGATATCTCAAAGACGCAATGTGACGAGTTGGTGTCGCACGAGAATCAGAACTAGCATCGACATACATTGTAGAAATGAAAATCTTTATAAAATAAAATGGTATTTTTGAATTTGATTAATTTTCGATTCTACTTGGTTAAATCATATTCATCATTGTAATGACGGTGTACTATCTTCAAGATGTTCAATGGTATAAAACGATTTCAAATCAAGATGCTATAAGTATAAGGTAACAACATTTTTTTTTCTGAATTTGACGTCGTCTGTTGTTTGAATTATATACATAGTCATACAGTATAGCATATTTTATGCCCAATGTATTAGGAAGGTTCCAAAAGAAATAGCTATCACAACAATCTTGATTATATACAGAAATAGTAGCCTATTGTGGTAGATTGCTAGTACAACTTAGTATGTGAGAATACAAGATAATATGTTAGAAGTGGTATAAAATGTTTTATCGTAACACACAGGTCGTTATTATAAAATTATAATTATTATAAATTAGCTAAATCAAATGACTTTCTTATCCGGGTCTATAGATTTGAACCAATAAAAGAACTTGATCCAATTGACGCTTTTTTAAAATTGTTTACATTTCATAATAAATCTTTTGATATAATAACGTTGATCGAGTCAAAACAAAATTTTTGTTTAAATGTAATTGAAAAACCAACGTTGAATATTACGTAACATTAAATACATAGATCTTAAATTTGTTTTATAAATCGATAAATACGCGCTCATAACTCTAAAACACAACATAATCAGGGGATTAAGAAATGTTTGAATGCTGCTGCATATCTGCTTTGCATCTTGAGTACAAACGTAAAGTCTTCAGCCTAAATGACTAAATGGAAATTCAGGTTCCAGAACAGCTGTTTATAAATACGCAGAAAAATGTAGATCACAACATTCTAAGACTAACAGATCCCTAGAATCGATATTTAAATTGAACAATCGCTGAACGACATTCATTTTGTGAAACAAAATATAGATCACAAATTGTCTATCAGTGAAGTCGTGTGATGGGGCTGACGGAATTCAAATATTTTCTAGTGGAAGCAGTACTCTTTATAAATTGCTTTATATAATGTATATTTTACCATTATATTGCATCCGTTAAGCCAGTTTTTCATTTACTGCAGGCTTCCCTACCTGTTTTTGCTGTGGACCCCCAAAGTTTTGTTCAAAGTCGTATGGACCCCATGTGCTTATTGGAGATATCCAAGTTAATTAACTTGCTGCCTTGATAGAACCGTTTAATTTCATTGTACTCAGTATTATTACCATGATAAATTTCGGACTGACAGTATGCATGTGCTCTGACCCTTGCTTGTCCATTATCAAAGCACTTCAATTAGTGTAACTATGATAGGTTTAATAATTTATTTTATTATTTCCCTTTTTAATTCAGAAACCTAAGACAACTCACATAGATTGGGACGAGTTGTAACCATGCTGTTCGCTGGTTTCCTAGTACCGGTAACCAAAACAAAGTTATTTTTTAAACAAATTCAAGGTTTTAATTCTACGACAAAATTTATTGGTAAAACGACTAACAGAAGTATCAATGAGAACCCCGTTTCTGCTTGTTATTTACTCGCATAGGATCCGATCCGTGAGGTCAAACCCCTCATACGGAGCCTCATATCTGAATTATCGTTCAAATGCATGCTCCTTACTAATACAAACCCTAATCTAACAGGTACTCTTTCGTTTATTTCAGTTTATCCAAAAACAATGAAAAGAGAAACAACTTCAATAAAATATCCTCCTTTTAATATAAATAGCACTTTGTCTCTGGACACCTGTAATCGCGCTGTGGACCCCAGCGGGTCCATCTGGACCACGTTGGGGGCCCTGATTTACAGTCATACGACTTCAAAATAACCAAATTGCGATCTTTATACCTATATGAGAATATTTTTAGATTTTTATATATAGATTTCCAATACGTCAGATGCATTCGAGCCAAAACATTACTTGAAAGTATTTTTATGGGTAAAAGAATCTCAACCACATGGATGGATGTTTAACACGCAAGCTATAGTTAATGACCCTAGAATATACTGTATATATATATTCATAGTACATTGAGTTGAAATGGCATGTGTTATGTTACAGGGGACGAACTTGAAAAATAAACAATCTCTTATTTGGGTTCCAGTGAATTAGTATGAGACACTATCAGTGGTAAATAATATTATTAGTTCTATTGTCATATAAAGAGTATTGACGGGCTGTTTATGTTTTTGCGACCATGGCTTCTCTTCGATGTAAATATGTGGTATTCCGACAACGAGAAATCGATGATAAATCTACACTGCAAACAAAAATTATCAAATTATTTCGAAAAATAACTTAATATGCCTATTAATGAAAAACGAAAGAAGGGCAAAAAAACATTTTTGCAAGACTGTTTAACACCAAACAAGCTCAAGCTTTGAAATGGACTGCCCGTCATCGATCAAGACATGCGTCAATGTTAATTGTGATAAATTAGGCCAGAACGAAGTCCGTCAAGGGTGGGAACAGAATTGAAATAAGAAATAAACGGCGTTCTTACAAATATCTTCCGGAAATCTGTATCCTAATTTTCTAGTTTTTTCCATTGTAAATGCAATTTATCCGAATTGAATTCTTTCTCCGAAATAGCTATATATATATATATTATTTCTACTATCATGATTTCTTGTATCATGATTTGTTTACAGTCCAGATAAGGGAGAAAACTTTCACACAAATTCTGTTCTTCAATAAAAATGTTGGCACTTACAACAAGCATTTTTCGTATTTTTTCTAGAAAAACCAAGCTTGCACACTCCTGATTATGATATTGTCCATAGGCCAGGCATTTAGAAAATAATAAGTAACATTCCTTTAGAATTCTCACTAACGCAGTCACAATATTTCACATGTAAAAACCCACGTTGTTGTAATTAAAAGACGAATAAAGTTGGGATATGCGATAGTTCAAAAGTTGTTATCGGGATTTTCGCGATGAGTAAATACTGACAAACTTCACGCATAACCATAATATGGTAAAGCATGACGCAAAACAGGAGTACATTGAGGCTGTTTTCGTTGACGCGATTCCTGGTTTTATTTGCAGACTAGCCAAGAGCTTGAACATCACGTTGAGCCATATATGATATAGGAAAGATAATTCGTGCGTATTATACTCTTCACAATTCTGAAAATACCCTTTATTAGCTTCAAAGTTAAGTATTGGGCCCTTGACGAAATCGGCATTGGCCAGTAATACTGAATTCGCCTTATCTCTTTACTCACTGTATTTGTCTATTTAGCTCTCGTAGTATTATAATGTTGTGGCAAAAACATGAAACAGCATAAAACGTTTAATATAACATAGTTTGGTGTTATTTTTTTGGTGTTTTTGATATTCCGCAGATGTATTCCTTGTATTATATCGTCACGCTAATAACCGAATTGCGTAAGTCATTTTTAGCAGTTTTGAGAAAAACGTAAAAAACTTCCTAATGATTTCGTGTTGCAATTGAGAGTCAATAATTTGCCATGGTTCACTTTTTTGATCGTAGCCGGATTTAAGTTAATTTGTATGACGCAGTTAAGTGACGTCATAATGGCGCACTGTGACTTAGGCAGGAATGTGTCTATGACTTGGTGACATACGCAATTTTGCAACTTCCCTATATGCACCAGTCCTGAAAACTAAACATTCCAAAAACGAATGTAATTCTCAGTATCTACAATGTCTAATCCCCAAAATAGCTAATCAGTTTCAATTACATCATTTTTTATGTTTAAAAATATATATTTCATCAATATAACACGTTCTGCACACCCACCGAAATAGGACTAAGATTAAATATAAAGAATAAAACAGCAATGCACCCAATATAAAAGCCAACCAAGGGGAATTTGACTCGGACAGTGAATATCACAAGTGTACGTCTTCCTATACTGTAGTAAAAATTCAAATTAATACGCGCTAAGCTAGAATCCGAGATGCAAAAACTCGAAAATACCTCGCCGAGGTTATTTTGCCTTTGTGACGTCACAAGAGTACTGCGGTAACAAGGAAAATTCATTATGACGAAACAATTTCACAAATGTACATGTCATACTAAATCTCCATTTTTTATGGGTTTCGGAATTCCTAAAATAAAATCTGAGTTAACAGACAGGTGCGCAGCATTACATAAATACCTATTTTATAAAAAAAACTCAAAATCGCCAAAAATGACTTACGCAATTCGGTTATTAGCGTGACGATATGTAAGAAATTAATACTAACCACCAGCAGCAACAGCAGACATTGCCCCTGATTATGAGTATGACGCGTCTTGGATTTTTATCAGGCGAGCCCGGAGCATGTATTTATCAATTTAGGAAAAATTTAAGTTTCATGTATCAAATGTCGCGTAAGCTTCAATTAGAGATTTGAATATCTTTATTAGTTTAAATATAGAGGCGGCATAGAACGTAGCTTGTGACATATACCATTCCCACTTACATATTGCCCGAAAATGTTAGTTTATAAACAATTTGAATTAATTAGCGGTCATCAAAATACTTTTAGTCGTCCAATTTAATCAATCAAATTTTGATCGAGACGTTTCTATCGCCACCATAAAAAACTGAATCGCCAGCAGTATTTTTTTAACTTCTTATAGCTTTTACGGTCACGAACAACATCCATCGAAGATAAATAAATCACAACCGGTGTTAGCAAAACGATGTAATTTGCCGACGCTTCGAATTTCACGCCGTGATAATTTTTCCTTTTTTTTCTCTTCTCTGCTCTATATATATCCAATAGTGTGCTTTCCATATCATGCCCTGATGAGGTTTTTCTGCATAGAAATTCGAAAAGTCCACAAATTACATCGTTTTGCTAAACACCGATTGTGCTTTATTTTTCTGCGATATATATATACCAGGGGGCAATCATGCGCTGAACAACATCCTTTATTATCTTATTGTACTTCTCTTGAACTGAGGAAATTCTACACTTAACACTCTTTTTATCAATACAAGCCTTTATGTCTTGCAAAGGTTGTGATACCACACCACACAAAATTTTTTTTTTTATTGTTGTTTATGACGTGCTTCGCTGTATATATATCACCACAAACGTTGTAGATACAGTCCTATATTACATGGTAATAAAAGCAATAGATTGTTATTGTTAGAATAGCATAATATGTATATATATATATCTTAAAACTCATAACTTCTCCACCTTTTTATTTATATATTTACAAAGGTAGTGTATTCAATTTTACTGCGTATGGTACGCATGAAGTATGGAACAGCTTGTATTGAAGCTACTATTTCACACCTTCTAATATGCACCAGAAATTCGATGAATCACATTTTACCACACAAGTAATAGGGAGAAACACGGAATGTATGTAGTCTAAATTAAGACTCATGTTTTTAACTTGATGCTCATAAATATCATGAAAATAGTTTGTCCATATTGGTTCCATTACATTTGAACCCATGTACATTTGAACACACGACAATTGCACCTGCAAATTTGCACCTATTAAGTTTTTTTTTGTTTTACGCCATATTAACCATAACCCATGGGTTTGGCACCTTCATATAGATTGAGCCCACGAATATACACATGGGTTCAAATGTACGGTCACCGTCCATATTAGAATATTAGCAGAAATGTGTGAGGGTGAGAATACTGCAATCTACTGAAGAACTTCAAGTGCCCAATAACAGATAATCAACTAGAGCTAGACTACTCCACATTACAATCATCGATTTGTGATATCGTGTCTGATGGTAGATCTACTAGAAATGTAATATATATATTTACATCTGGGATGAAACAAGTGATATTAATGTGTATATGAGCAGAATCAGAAAGTTATAATTCCTTTAGTCTTCTTCAGCAGAACTTAACATATTGCTGTAAATGTAAAAGATAAGGCATTAACTGACATTAACCATTTCAAGATACATCCACACAATCACAATAAAACGAATTTGAAATAGGTTTATATCGTTGAATATACATTTACTGGTGTTTATAAGACAGTATAAATTTAACAGTACAATTTAAATATAACACTTACGGAAATTGCACATAGGTCCAACCCATCCAGAATTGCAGGTACATGCTGGATTATTCGATGCATCGTAACTTCCTTCAACACACACTGTGCGACAAAATACGTTCATTTGAAAGTTCCATTATTTAAAAGTCAACATGACTGATTTGCAAAATAGTCTGCCTTTACCTCAATGACAAGAGGTGATCCAATTAATTAATATTGTTTATTGTGAAGTTTTTAAACTAATTCTAATTTGCTTTATCGTTTATTGTAGCTTTGTTTTGTTTATTGAAAACAATTCGAGTCTAGCAATGACAAAACATATAAAGTACATCAACCCAATCTTCCACTTAGTTGATATGAACATTGCACTATATTTGTATCGCACAGACTATATACCGTATTATATTTCCATCCTAAATGAGCTTCAATGAATCTGATATTTTTCCGAATGCTTGATGATATATTTGCGCAAATATATTTTCCACATTTGCATATCATTCATAATATAGAATTGACTAGCAGTATACTCACTTATATCACACGCATCTCCGAACCAAGTCGCAGTGCATGAACAACCTACCGATGGAGACCTTGTAGGAGATCCGTTGATGCAGTCTACACGTATAAAGAGCAACTGTTACAAATATTTAACATCAGTATTTATTGGCTCAAACAAACCCAATTAAACGAAATTTCAATTAAAGTAAATTATTCATCGCTATTGTCCGCGAATAAGGAACAAATCGAGTAGTTCAAGTAGTTGAACAATCGAATGTACACAATCACAATATTACTTCGTATTATGATTTGTTTGTTCTATTGAAAATGCAGTTATCCCATCGACAGCATTTCTTTCGATGGTCAAATTTACAAAACGGTTAATAAAGAAAATTTGATCGAAATTAGAAAGAGAAACATGTTGATGATGCTCGACGCAGACAGACGTGTACTGTTACTTACCGGAAAAATCAAAACCATCGTCTGGTCCTCCACTGATACTGGTGATACCATTACGTGTGCTTCCACTAAATTCTGACTGACCTGGTCGTTTATTCACTATTACGTTACCTCCGCTAGCAGCTGAAAGGAAATATATGCATACTTCGTTCAACACATTAGAAATGATTTTGTAGGATAAATTTGTAAGCTATAAAACGGGTTCTATATATTGAGTATGAACGGTGTCACTGGATTACTTTATAAATTCATTATGTATTATATTTTTCATGCGTGAACTACTCGAACGATTTCAATTATTTTTTTTTTATATTCACACTTCGTAAAATTGATATCTACAATTTTATTAATGATTAAAAACAAGACGAAGACGAGACTTACCAGTTATCTGTCCATCATGAATAGCTGCAAGGCATATTGGTGTTTCGTCATTGTAGATTTCGTCTCCCACGACATCAACCAAGTTCGGGCTGCAGTTAGCCGGGCATATAAATACGACTAGACTTGGTTGGCTTGATACGGTTTGTAAGCAATCTGGATATATCGTAGCTGAAATTTAAAAAAATGCAAAATTAAATGAGTACTACAAAATCATTATATATATCAAAACATGCGCAACCACCGTTTGTATCCCTCATATATATTGCCTATACGTAATGGTTGCAACACGCATGTCTAGAGCGTGCGTAGTTTTAATTTTGATACAGATATGAGTAAAATGCCATTCTAGTAATCACCACATTATAGCACACCAATCTAAACGTACCTTACTGCATCTCTAATTAATAAGACAATTAGAGATAAATAACAATCGTAAAAGCACACAAGTTTTGTTCCTACTTGAAAATGTAAACGCAGGTTGATACGCAGCTAGAGGCCCCGGGTGAACACTGTTGGCACTGGCGGCAGCGCCGCCGTATGACATAATCCCTTGTTGTTTCTGAACAACAACAGCACCGGAACTTCCACCTAGAAAAATATTTGACGAGTAGCAGTTGCCCTCGTTATGAGACAAACATTGTATACAAAATTGGCTGAGCATGCACACCTACTAATTGTATATAATTTTTTGTTCGAATTTCAGTTGCGTCGTAATTGATTTGCAATTGAACTTGAGATCAATTTTTGAGCGACAAATCTTCATAAAAATCATATTTTACAGCAAATTGTACAATATAAAATATATAAATAGATTTGCAAAGATTGTTAGTTGTCTGTGTTAATTGGATTCTACTGGCCGTTGGTTCAAAATATGAATGAAACAAGTAAAATTGAAAAAGATCGATGTCACTTTATTGGGTAATATTGACTATATTTAAATATATTTTTCACCTGGTATTATTCCGTCAAAAAGTGCAGCCATACAAATGAGAGATTGAACCGCAAATATTGAATTGGCATCATCATAAACAACGTCAGTTGTAGTTGGAGTGTGTGTTTCGCAATCAGCTGGGCAGTTAAATACAAAAACTTCCTGATCGATATCTTCTGCTGCAACTGCACAATCAGATGGAATCACAACTAGAAATCAAAAAAATTTCATCTCAATCATTTGTTAATACTGAGTGATACTGATAAATTCCGTTACGGCTGAGGAAAAAAAAACATTTTTTCGTGATTTCCTAAACTCTTGTAAGCGTAAAGCATGCAGTGAATAAAAGATATAACTAATATCGACCACTTCAGCACATTATTCCTACCAAATGTATTAATGTTACGGATATATAAAGCAGTAAGCACTATGCCGTTTGTTCTATATTCCATTAGGAGAGAGAAAATATCAAGAATACTATTCCTGTTTCTCGACTGAAGTGTAGGGATGGCGGAATCGATTTCGGATTCGATTACAGAATCAATTCTTCGTGGAATCGACTAGAATCGATTCCGATGCACCGGAATCGATTCTCGAGTTTGAAACGGATTGCAAACAATGTGTAACGTTTTGTGGCAATTCCTTCACATATATATATATGTATGAACTGCTTCACTGCTATGTGGAGTTGCTACGACGCCGCAAACTTCATTACATAATATATATACAGTATATATATTTCGCTGGAAGGCTTTAACGTTTATTTATTCTAAAATTCTCCGTGGGTTCTGAGGGATTCGTTTTTTTGTGCGATTTTGTCTTCTGTGACAGATTGGATACCCATACTACTTAGTTTCGGCCTTCTTGTCCGTTCAGAATTTGAACATCGCTGTCTTGCTTGATTTCATATGGTATTGCTTGGGTGGGTATGTTTTTTCGGTAATATGTCGAGGAATCGAGAATCGGAATCGAAAATTTAGGAATCGGATCAGAATCGAATACTTGTAAGTACTCATACTTGGCATCCTTACTGATGTGTACCAAGTTTCCTCAGTTTCAAATAAACACATATATCTTTTGAACAAAAACTGATATAATGAATGTTTCCCCGAGAATCGACTTCCTTTTACTTTGTGACATTGGCCAATCAGCAAGATGCAAAAAGTGGCATAACAACGCATCCGCTCAGACAGATTTTCAAGCGTGGCCGTAAACAATGCCTCGTTTTCGCATTTTTGAATTATATTCGTTAGTTTTCAGTTGCGTCGCGGACATTTAAACATAAATCAAATAATTCATTGATCATTTTGTCTTAGAACATTCAGTTTAATTGCAGTAATCAAAAATTATTGTAGAAATAGCTGTGATAGACTAGGCTAAAATTCTTTACTGGTACTTTTAAAAGACAGATTGTTGAATGCTATGAATCAGAACGATGGTTTGAAACAAATACCCCATTTTACAGGCGCCAACTCCCGAAATTATTCCTAAATTAAGAACCGAAAATTTTACAATGGTGAAGTATAGGAAGAACTTCCCGGGGTCAAAGATAGGGGAAAGGTCCATTGTTCAAAAAATTTATATTGTGAGATGATTGATGATTGCAAAAAAGCCCACATAAACAAATATTTTTATTTGATGTAATCATTTATAAATAATAAGAATGTATTTTTGTGTTTAAATTCAAGAACAATTCCAAGGACAGAAAAGGCAGAAGTATCATTTCAATAGATAAAGCGATTATATATATATTGCAGGGATGGCGAACCTTTTTTAATGAATGAGTCAAAAATTACATTTTTATTGTGTTAAAGAAGACCGAGGGTCATACATGTTTGATCAGAGTTTACATCGATGAGAAACTTTCGGTTGCATCTTTCCAACAATTCCTGTTAATATTTGGTTAATATTATGTAGACTTGAGCTTTATATGCAGCACTTACAGAGTGTTAGAAAAGTAACACAACATTTAATCTTTAAAAGTTAAAAAAATAACGCAAAATTGCTCGTCGTTGCAACAAATCATGTAACAGATAGCGATTACAATTAAACTGTTAACATAAGAAGCTAATTCATCAAACTTGACTCTCAACACACTCAGTTTTAGAATCTGGTTACCATAGTAATCATACGCGTTCAATTTATTTTGCAAGCACGCATTCATTTCCATGCTGCTTGAAGTCTTCCAGTTGTGCATATCAAAGAAAGAATTGATTTGGTGAGAAATTACCAATTATAAGAAAATAAAGCATCAGAAGCCGCAAGGAAAGCAGGTAAGAATAGGCTTACCATACGTCCCGGTTTAACCGGAACAGTCCCGGTTTCAGACTGTTTTCCGCCGTCCCGGTTTTGCAGTATGAAAGATACAAATAATTTTTCTATTTGATACTATTACAATTTTTTTTTTAAACGGAGACAGCCGATTTACCGCAGAATTGCGTTTCACTCCACTAGTTCAGATAGAAGGAAAAATTGTTATGTCATAATTGAGATATGAAGTATGGACCATACTACAATTTAACATCCAGCTGTAGGCTACTGTCAATGAATCATCAAAATGCTGGAAACAAAGTGCAATTTTTCTAATGAGTTGAATGATTTTCATCATTAGAAGCAAAGACCAATAGAGGATATTTTAATAGGATTTACAGCTAAATTTGATGCCTGTAATCCACCCACAATGGCATGGTGGCATGGAAAACGTTTGAACTATTAGGCCACTAAGCCCCTAGAATCGAACCAAAGTTGCCTTGTCCAATCCGCGTCGTCCCGGTTTTTTGCTTCAAAAATATGGTAAGCCTAGGTAAGAACCCACTTCATGCTTCTACGGCAATGGGACTTATTCGTAAAATTGAAGCAAGCGGGCCTGTTGCTGATGAAGTGCTGTACGCAAATATCCCAATCAGTGCCCCCCCCCCCAGTAGGTGGTGAACACCGCCCCCCACCCTAAAATTTCAAACACCTCCCCTAATTTTGAGGTGCCACTCCACACTGTAATTACTAATTCAATTATAATTGTATTCAAATATAACGACCATGGCATATTTATCAGTGTAGATGAGGGGTTCCAAACCGCAATCTGCGGGCCAATTACGGCTCGCGTAACGATTTAAAATGGCCCGCCGAACTTGAAGGAAATAGTTTAACGCTTCATGTGGTATCTTTTGAGTTTTAGATACCGTCTATCCTTACATCATCATCACAGTTTAAGCACGTTTATTTTGTAACAATTGTATTATACCGGTATCTTATGTATACGTACGGGTATTAGGATTACACAATGCAGTATTTTAGATATCAGCCGTATAATAAGCACGCCTAAGGATGCCACAAAACAAAAACTAGGCACTGAAAGCAGACATTTTTTAGATGAATGGCGGCGTTTTTATTTCTTTATTGGAAAGAATCAAACTTCAGCGAAACAACATTATGCGCCAATGCGCCATTATGATCAGTTGACGCGCGTATTTCAAAATTTAATTTCATTGCCCAATTCATACAAACGTCAAACAAACATGTTCAAAAAATGTGAAATGTGTAACAAAACAAGCCACAAGTGGCCATTCATACGATGCCATATGCTAGATGAGCAAGTAACTTCATTAGTCTCTATCAGTGGTAAATTACTTGCTGAAAGCCGTGCTTGTTATTTATTCCTCGGGAATTCTATCAGCTAAATATTATAATTATTAATTTCATTACATAACAAACTGTGATGCTAGGTGTGTCTAAAATCAAGCTTAGGGCCTATTTTGGTGCCTATTTCTCAAAATTTTCTCTGGCCGTTTAAGCGCGACCTGATCCCCAGCCGTGCCGTCGCGCACTTTTCCTCGCTCTCCTTTTCTGGCTCTACAATTTTATTCTGCTGTGCATTTTGGCTCGCCGTCAATCAACTTGGGGAGCCCCCCGTGTACATCGTTTCTTAAATACATACCAATTTTTTAAGAATACGTTTCATCACTAATAGCAAATTATTTACCACCCCCTAAATTTTGAAACACCCCCCCCCCCCCTCATTTTCTCAAATTTGCTTATCGACCTAAGAACAATATTTCACATAAATGGTATAAAAAATAATTCGTAGTATTTACCATCAAACAAAAAGTATACGGTGGTGATCGATGGTGCATTGGCAGGGGCTATCGTAGTAACCCCGTTTTCTGTCCCGGCCGTCATTGTCGGAGGAGGGTCTGACGTTAATTTTCGGAAAACTACTTGTCCTCCTGTAACTGTTAAATTTCTGAGAATTGAAAACTGGGCTGATAGATTATTTACCTTGAACGTACATATACTGAAGAATTTTTTTTCGTAGTACTTGACATTTTTATACTGTTTTCGACTTCATGCATATATATACAGCTGATTTATGCCCCGCTGAAGTTATTTTTATAATCTGTGTTATACCAAAATTCTATAGAAATCAAAAGATCATATTCAAGAAATTCTGTAGAAAGATAAATCGGAAATCCTGCAAAGTATTTATTTCATAGCTACAATAGATGGACTTATCAGTATCACCTGGAGCTGCAGCAGCGTATATCGCAGCAGCACAAACCAGAGAATCCGGTTGAAAAGCAACTGGTCCACCTACAACATACACATCTCCGATATCACAATTTGCAGGGCATTCAAAAGTGGAAACACCTCCCCTAAAATCCTCGAATTTTTTTTCGCATTCTGCTGGTTGCAAAGCTGTAAAACGTGTAGATTTGTGAATAGTGCCAGAAAACGTGGTGAGAAAATTAAGACCTTGCTTCAAACAGACTTGTGGAATCAATCTTACTCAAACCCTAATCGGTAATTTCAATTTTTTAGAACTCATAAGAAAATGGGAAGTTAATACGGACCTCCCGGATTCAGATTTTTGCTATCCCACTGACAAACAGCGCTTAGAATAGCTTACACTCATCATGTTATGCAAAGAAACAGCTTGGTACTTGCTTTCAACACATCTACCGACTAAATTTGCCGACTTTTGGCCACAAATAATAGTGTGATTATAAACAATGTGAGATAATTCGCATGTAAAAAAAAATATAATTTATTCTTCTCACCATAAGTTGCGAGAGTACATAATGAGATAACCAAAACAACAATTGTCAACATTGTATATTGACGAAGCCTAATACTTTTCAATACCGACAAGTATGTAACCGGAATCTAACTGATTTCTTTATCAATAGTCGATACGAACCCTCTGTTGTCTGTTGTTTTCATCTGATGTCCCTTTACCGCTTGCAAGAAGAAAGGGATTGAAGGCTTAATTGAAAATAACATTTTGTATTTTCGAACACGGGCAAAAGAAAAACTGCGCATGGCCACTCATCGTGAGATGAAAGCGCTCTTATATCAATGTGTATAAAATATAGCAAATGGATTTTTCATTGCAGCGATGAAACCTTTGCATCCTTTCCAATGTTGTGAATACAAAGAAAGGGGAAATGTTTAGTCATAGTCGGTAGACTAGGTCCGAATTACTAGAAAACGATGAATGGGTATATTTACTAAGCTTGAATTGTAAAGGATATGAGAATTCATACTTTTCCTTTTCCATTCGTATTGCTATAAATCAGTGGTGACCAACACGTCGATATCGACTGACCGGTCGATCGCCACGTCTCGAGTATTCGATCGCCTGTAATGTTGAGTGAATTTAATACCAAGCCCCAAAAAAATTGCCTTGAACCAGTTTCATGTAACGCTTAATATGTGTTTTAAAACAGGACGCAAAATACGATATGCATATACATTATATGAGTCTAAACCAGAGGTTCTTAACCTTTCCGAGATTGCCGGACCCCGTCCGCTATTCAGAATGATTCCGCCGAACCCCATCGTACTGAACGATTGAAATTAGGAGCCTATCCTTACTTTGTAAAGGGGAAGCTATTTCGTGCGAGGTTATAGAATATAAATATTGAACATTATGGTTAAACGGTAACCTTAGATACAAATACCCCGTGTGGAAAAAGCCATTGTTTTGTCACAATAGTTTCGGCGGCAGGGAAAGCAGGTGTTATTTGCTTGATGTATAAGTTGGTAGTTCAAGTCATTCGTTTCTCAAGCTGCATTGAAATGCGGGTAAAAGCTTTTGGCAATTGTTTTATTTTACAGAAATAGAGAAAGGATATGACTCGGCGCCATATCGTAGTTATCCGGAACGAATGATGATAATTTCAAGCAAAGTATTCTTTGTCGCAAATTAATCATCTAGTGAAATTCAAACACGCTTTGATTATGCATTCATTCATGTACATTCACTGCCAATCTTCAATTTGTTCGTAAAACTGAGTTAATAAATCAGTTTATTAGTACGGTAGATTATGAATAAGGGCCACGCAAATAATCATCCTTAAAATCATTGGTTTGTCATAACAACCCAAGATAATTCGAAGTCATAAGCAGAAAGCATCTAAAAGGGTTATCATAGATAGGTACAAACACCAAAACGCGCGATATCTGTGGAGATATGACTTTTTAATAGAACGTACTAGAATCTAAAAACATAGACGGTCCACTAAAACTTATACCTGCGCGAATCTATTACACACAACTGAGCTAACCTTTTGGATGTTGAAAGTTTACGTTTAAATATCTGCAATGAAATATAGTTATTTTTGCATGGTTAGTAGACGAGATAATAGAAAAGTCCCATAATATATATAAAACTGTTCCAGAGGACCTTCGTCGAACCCCTGGAACAGCTCCACCGAACCCCAGGAGTTTGATAGAACCCAGGTTAAGAACCGAATGTCTAAGCAATCCCGATAGAGCATATAAATGCGTAACAAATGAAAGTTCCGCCACTGTCAAAGTTCAGAATGAACTTGCCGAATATCGTGTGTCTTGACTGAGAATCGATCCTACAATAACTTCTACAGTATGCGACCGTTATTGTCTCACTCCAAGGGTAGTGTATTCACAACGGTAGCAGTGGCATCAGAATGCTTAATTTTTCCTAATTCCAAGTCAGCGAAGAATCGGACTTAGGAGGAGGAAATCAGATATATACTGAAGTTTGAGCAGTCATGTGACCTTCATTGTTTGGGAATATTTATTTTTCGCTGTTCAGATAATATGGATACCTGAAAACGTTTTTTGAAAAATTGTAGAACTAAGAATTGTATGATTCGACTAAATCTTGAATAAATGATGAAGTTTACGCGGGGTACAATTACATAATCAAATTAAATGGAACATAAAAAATACAAATTTTTGTGGCGATTTCATTAAAATTGCGCACACACAGCCGAGTTCATTGGCAGCGGTGGAATTTTTTGTATGCGTGTGTGTAGCACAGTTATCTGCATATTCTGTACTCATTCGTTTTGGGGTGGCCTATGATCTTATCATCGATCGCGAGCTATTTTGAAGAATTTAGTCGATCGCAGGTTGGCCAACCCTGCTGTAGACTATCCAAACTGTCGGCACCCCATGCACGCAGATTAAGTACAAGTTGGACGTCGGTACGGTCAATTACCACACGTGAATCTAATATGGTGGAAATTACGGGAGTACCAAACTATGTGTGCGAAAATCGCTGAACGTGGTTTGCATTGAGGTTTTGTTTTTTTATCAATTCTAAAAAAACATGGTGTTTAAAAACAAGGGCTTGGTCTTTTTTTGTATTTTTTATTGAAATACCCCTTGCTTTGCCGCGAAACTACGCCAAAACGTTGCATACTGGCAGCTGCACACGCAGCCGGAATTATAATTTCAAAAATGTAAGTAAAATATTTTAATTTGACTTTTACTTCTATTGCGTTCATTTATTGCCACGTTTGTATCTCCACTAAAGTCATAAGAATATACCCGGAATGTTTAGCCGAGATATCAGAGAGACGTTTTAAGTAAGAAAAATCATGAAAATCAGCTCACGAACCCATTACAAAAGCAATTAGATCAAGTGCACCCCCTCGGCAAAACGAGTGGGTTGCGATAATGATAAATATGCTTGTATCGGCGGTAATCTACTGATATAAACGACGAGGCACCCTAGCCCAGGGTCGTCCAACCTTTTTGGCCGAAGGGCCACATGTAGTTTACAAATAATTGCGCGGGCCACTTAACATAGTAGTTATGTTCTAGTTTTGCTACACTGACTACAGGTTTCAAGCTGCGGAAAATTGCTATCTATGGAAAGGGGGTCGGACCCGCAAAACCACCCCCTGGCTATGCGAGTGGTCTCGATCCAAAATGACACTCATGGCTCGTTTGAAAGGGCTGGCAAAGCGCATTTTAGTAAATAAACAAATCGTTTGTATCACATCTTCGTATACTACATCACTCAAAAAATAGTTTTACTCAATTTTTTTTTAATCGATTCGGAAAAATAAAGCGCGGGCCACTCGAAATGCTTCCACGGGCCACATATGGCCCACGGGTTGGACGCCAAAATATGGATTTCAAGTTCATGTATTTTCCTCACAAAATGAAGGCATCATTACGATTAATACTGGGTAATTTATGCTGGGTCGTTCACTTAATGGCTTATCGGTTGCGTCTTACTGCGCCAACCACTGAACCACAGCTTGCGAAGGTGTACATGAGCCTCTATCGATATTTGTGGCGTTTTGAAAGATTTATTGCAAATAAGAAGCGCTTGGCAAGTTTTTACGTCCATTTTTCCTCAACCTATTTAATACGAAAAAATCAAATAGTACAGCCATTTTGAACAAAACAGGTAAAAAAAAACTTGATTTAAACAATTCTTTTTGAACAAATCCCTCGTTTGCACCATCGCTTTCTCTATTACCCAAGTTAATGGATTTGGGGCAATCGACTGGTTTACTTTTTTGACGCAATATTTGGACACTAGAAACAGGTCTTGTACGATACATAATGATAGTACATAGTCCAGCGGTTCCCGACCTTATATGGCTCATGACCCCCTTTTGTCATTACAAAGTGGTATTTTTATTGGGCTTCCGGAAACAAATAACTAACTAATTCATCGAATGGTAACCGACGAGAAGCCGTGGTTTATCATATGGTTAAGCCGTCCTATCGGCTATCTTCTCCCCCGGGATAAATATGTAAATCTCCTCCTATTCTGAATTTATGTCAAAAATGTTGATTCGAAAGGATAGGTTGAAACAAACGAGGGTCTCGTAAAATAGGATTGCTGTATGATTTGAATCGCGATCTTTTTCTGTCCGTACTGTGCTGACCAGTGGGTAGTTAGCGCGGAAGATTACGTGACAAGATGTGAAATATCTCTCCGATTTGCCGTCGCTAAAATCGCCCCACTAATGAGACACACGCAGGCTGTTTTCATGGTGGTATAAATATATCCACCTCCCATTTATCGTGAAATGATGGATTTTTCTTTGGAATCAATAATTGTATTATTACTGCTCCGCTAACCAACGGACAAGAAAAAGCACGGGTTCGTGGAAAGTGATCTCAGTGTGATGTCATAATTGGAAGAGTGTTAATTGACCCGTCACATTACTGAGGTCGATTAAAAATAAGGTTGATGGTTACAATAATTAATATAGTGTCATTTCTAGTTCCCATATAAGTGTGATTTATACTAAAATAGCAGGACAAAATAAAATTGATGTAGCTTACTTGTAAGAGCCGTTATTAAGCTTAGTTTGGAACAGACCTGCGGGCGACTAATATGGTCTTCGCGGGCGACTTGGTGCCCGCGGGCAACGCGTTGGTGACCCCTGCGCTAGTATATATTTATAGACGGTATAAGATTAGGGCATCATTTTTATTGGTCGATCTCGAATACCATTAGATACAAACAATTAATTCTCAACAAAGTGAAAATACTGGGGAATAATCCCAACCATCAATGAAATTAGGAAGGACGGGGAGTTTTATTGTGGAGGGAAAAATAAAATAGGTTTTGCGCCTAGCATTGTGGCCCCCTCGGTAACCGCTAGTATTTATTCAGGACATAAACGGTGTAAGATTAGGGCATCTGATCCTATCCCGATTTACATTTGATTTCAGAGAAAGAGGCAGGCACATTTTCAAGAATCCAGCTATAACCCTTCTTATTTACTGCAAACCTAAGACGCCATCAGAATGAAGTCTTTTAGTGAACGCTACAACTACTCTGGACACGAATCTCACCTGAAAGCTTTTACTATGCTGAAATTACATGCCTCCATCAACCTCTATTATTCCATAGAAGATCTTTCATAGATTGCTATTATGATACTCGTATTTTAACCTAACTACACCCAGTGTATACCACTCGAAAACACAGAAAAAAAAACAATTTCAATTGTAATTAGGATTTCGGTTTCTTCATTTTCAATTTCTTTTTATCATGATTAGATTTTCTTTTCTTGCCTTTAACATTACTTTCCATGTTTTTAGCAGAATCTTCCGTGATCTTTTCAGCACTAAAATCAAAACAAGATGTTGAAAATTCCAACAAAAAATTACAAACAGAGGAGATCTTAAGTGTTTTGTGTAAAATGTCAAAATACAACACGATTGTAGTGAGTCAAATTGAGTTATCAAACTGTTTTATAGCTTTAGCTGAAAAACTAAAATTATGTTTATGAAAAGCGCAATTGTAATAGGATTCACTAGAATGACTTGGGATAGGCAGGTATTACATGAGGGATGTATGGCGTGGCGGTGTCGCTCAGCCTCCTAAGCGTTAGAAATACGCTCGCCACCGCACCTCCGATTACTATGCGTGTGTTCCGTTTGAATCCCATGTGGGGATAGGTATGTGCGAGAGGATTACTGGACTCCTCGCCGCCATAGGGTGGGCTCACGCAAGTCTGTTACAGCTTCCTCAGCCATCAAGTCCATGCTTCTGAAAATAAATAACTACTAATCCCATACACGACATGAAATGGTAACCGGATGAGAGGCCGTTGTTTGCCATATGGTTAAGTCGACTTATCGGCTTTCCTCTCCCCCGGGATAAATATGTAAATCCTACCCTATCCTAATAATCGCAACCGAAGCGGAAATTCATGGAAATTTCGCCAATATAAAAATACTTGATATTGCAAAAATAAACATAAAAAAATCGTAAACACCTCTTCACACTAACGATATTCAATTTCTTTGATGTAACCAAAGCAGAATCCCAATCCTTTTCTGAACCACGAATTTCAAATCTACACAAAATATGATAAAATCAAATTAATGGACTACATAATGAAGGGGTTTATTGCTTCAAGAATGTAAAAACTTACTGTGACAAATCCAGATCCTTCAGTGCATCTTTCACTTCTTGTTTTTGTTTTTTGGAAATTTCATCTCCAGCTTTGGCCTATAATGGAACAAGTTTCTCAAATCAAAGTTTTAAGTTTAACATTAATTTTCAAAAATAGGTAGTAAATATTTTAAAGTATTGAATAAAATGAATATCAATACCAATTGACAATTTTAGCATCAATCAATAAAATGCAAATATATTACGCTGACATTTATTTTCATCTGTAATAAAATAAAAGTATGGACTTCAACAGAGGTAGCCAACATAAAGCTTTAGGGATACATGCTTTAAATAGAGCGATAGAGATAGGTCTGACGTAGGCAGGTCGGCCAATACCCTACTACAGTATTAGATTTCATGAGAATAATTATTGCAATGGATTTTATTCAAACAGTATTGATTCGTTTGATAGATATCACAAACAGCAAAGTTAGTTCAAAAAGCCATTCACCTTATAAGTCAATGATATTGGCTAGGAAATACATTTAGTACCTTTTTTCATTTCCAGCACAGAGTGTGGCAAAAATAATAGAACCCATATATTTTCTAATTATTTCTATGAATATGAAGTTTGTGTATTCGATTGTACAGTCTAGCATGTAGTAAACATGAGAAAAAATGAAAAGCCATTTCAAACACATAAGTACGAACCAATTCATCATTCATAGATTCGTTTAGAGGCTTCATTTCAACATCATCAGCAGCATTTTCTTTCTTTAATTTTCCTTCCAATGATTTTTCTACTGATATTGCTTCTGTTTCATCAAGATATGTAGAAACTTTTTCTCATGGTACGATTGAACAATCCAAGAACCTTATAAAAAGAAATATTCGCTGGTAATTGCGAAATATATTGCTAATGAAAAAACCAATATTATAAATTAACCCAGTGACTTCAAACCTACGGTAATTAAGGAAAAACACCCCAAAGGCGAGGTGACAATAACGCTGTAACAAACGATCGGTGATAGTTGGCTTCAAAATGGAAATTTTGTAGCACATGAGATAAGAAATATGTTTTGAAAGTGTGGTAATCATATGGTTTTCGAGCTAACCATATAGTTGGGAAATCCTAGTTTATTATATTGAGCTGAGATTTTGTTTTGTAAATAATCATCTTGCAGTCAACTCACATTCAGAAATTTTCCAATAGAAGTAAAAATTTGGTGAACAAATGTTTAGTTGATGGAATTAAGAATTAAATCTACATAAACAACTGAATGTCTTACTTGTGAAGATGGTAAATCTATTTCAGTTGCTACTGTATCAACACTTTTATGCTGAAGTCCCATTCCAAGTAAAATTGCCTAAAAGAGAGATGACTATAAATTTATTTCTTATTACGAAAAAGCTTAATAAAAACCATGAAAGTATTGTTGAATTAGAGAAGACATATCTTGAATAATCTCCTATGTGCAATGGAAAGGGCTAGGTGTAAAGTTTGTCTTAAAGTCAATATAGGGTAATTCGATAAGTGAAAGATTTCAAATCTGTGCATCAGAGCACACCTGCACATATCAAAAAGTTGGTGAGGTAGACAATATTCACACGTCACATTTTAATTATTAATAAGTCATATGCAATGATATATTTAATGAGGAGATGTACACTCTTGTGTAACAGCAAGAAAATCGGAAATTCTTTCTCTTATAACAATCTAAATCACCAGATATAGAGTAGGCATATACATGTAACTAGTGAGCTGGACATATTACAGAGCTAACAGAAAAAATTGTGTTTCTGGTCGAATACATATTGTTAAAATAGTGAAAAATTCAAACAAAAAGTGTCATAATATTGGAGACAAGGGCATTAATCAAATGCTTACCTTTTGTGCAACAGACAGAGATAATTCCAATTTATGTAGGAAATACAACCTTGCTAGTACAGGAAGCATATCTAATATCAAATGATAATCTGCCATGTTTCGAGAATAAATGTTCAATCTTTTCAAATCATATGGTGAAAAATAAATGTCCAACTCTGTTTTTGTTAATTTTTTTGTATCATTGGTGTCAAAATTTTGGGACTTTTTCTTCTTTCTGTGAACAACTTGCAGAGCAACAGCAGGCTTGAATTTATCAAAAGCAGATGGCAAGAGAGATATGAATCGACGTTCAAAATCTATTGTTAAAATATATAAATGGAACATGATCAGACAATGCTTTTCACATATATTTATCACAGCACTTATCCATGGTATATATAATTGGAAAATTATTATTCTGATGCTGTTGAAACAAGTATCAACAGCCACCAAAATCAACAAGTAGCCTAACATATAACAGAATGGCATATATAGATGAAACTTTCGAAATCATATATATATAAAGCATCTCGGCTTAGAACTGTTTGTTATTCAATATAGTAAATAGTAAAGTTGGTATCAGTCATATTATCATAATATTTGATTCATGATTACTATTAGCTCCGGTCTGCCATTTATATTTTGAATCAGGGGAATGCTATTCCAGGAGAGCAGTTCTGCATGATTGGGCAACATACCTGCTTATTTATAACATTTATATATTTGTTTTTTAGTTGCATTGAAGCCTAAGTTATATTCCAAAACAAATATTCCCATAGCATGTGAGTCAAAAGTTTGAGTGTCTTAGCAAGAATTCCAGCCTTCTCTCGAATTTAAAAGTTGGGACATTGTAACTGATGACTTTTGCAGTTTCAATGTTTTGATAGACAAAGAACTTTATTATTTGAAGTTCTGAAGATGGTGTAACAAGACCATTTTCTTCATCTAACATCATGAAACGTTTACCTTTGTAATAAGCATTCAACCAATCAACTTTGGGATCTGGAAGACCATAACTCTCTTCTTGTTCTGCATGTTTGAGTGATTTGAGCATAATACATGAATGTTCTCCTGTTAAATCATTTGATGTTTGTCGCAAATATACAGGAATAAAACCTTGCTTGCTCCAAAATCTAAATTAACATTGATCTATTTTAGCAATTGATGGGCTACACATACTTGGAAAATTCTCACTGTTGAATTGGAGATTTAATTAAATGATGATGTCGATTTTACTGTTTTGTAATTCTTTGAGGATTTACCAAAATAACAGAACATCACAGATGAACCAATAAAAAGAATTTGAAATGAAATCTTATGAAAACAAACTATTTATAAGTAGTAGTAATGTGATATGAAAATAAAATAGAATGACAATTTAGGCCATATTCTTTTTTTTATCATGAAAAAAATATATAAGTATCTTTTATATGTATATCTGGTGTGTGTATTGTCTTTTTTAACAAATGAGGGAGACATTACTTCAACAAGGGAGCGGTGAGTCCATAGGACACCCCAATATAATCAAGGCGTTCAGGTTTTCTCTCTGTGAGTTTGAGAAGTAACGAAGGAAGATGTTTACGAGGCACTACAACCTCATCAAGAAGATCAACATCCTAAGAAAGAAAAAGATTCACTTTTTTTCAAAATTTAAAAATTTATTAAGGAAAAAATAAAAAGAGTTTTCATTACATTACACCGATAAAACGTTGAGAAAGATATTTACACTCAAAATTTTCTTTCAAAAATGTTCTTTATCAACTTTTCCAAAAAATTTTCAGAAAATGATAAACACATATTAGCATCATTCAAAATATGAAGATTGAAAATTTCATGTGAATTATTTTCGGCACACAGCCTATTGGATACCAGTCCATGTGATATTTACCTCATCATTAACAGTATTGATTTCATCAACTTTTGCATCAACACCATCGGTTTCAGAGATGTCATAAATTTTTCCTTGATAATATTTTTCAAGGAGAGATAATGCCTGACTTCCGTAACCCATGCTTTGATAACTTGGATGAGTTGCAATCCGAACCTAAAAAGTAAAAAAATCAAGTATATTTGATAGTAATGGAACAAGATTCGGATTTGGGCTTGATTGAGTCGAATCTGCGCATTTTTAGAACTCTGATTCAATATCGAATCCACAACAATCCAAGTCCAAAATCAATTACGTTTTTATGATTGGACACATTCGGTATGTTTGCTCAACTTTATGACGCTCTATACAAAGAACAGTTAGTCAAAAATGACCATCTAAAATCTCTACAAATATACATACGCAATGTGTCATAAGCTCAAATGTAATTCCAATAAGAGATAATGAGTTTCCTAAAAAAGTTTGAGCTCGACTTTTGGCACTGTTAGACAAGAAGATACCATGTATGATTTATGTTGATGAGAACGCATTGTTGCACATAAAAGTCAAAAACATGTTTTTCGTATCTCCATTATAACATCGTACATTCGGAATATTTGATTTGACTTGAGGTCTTGGCTAATCAATCAGATTCATCGAATTGGACTAACACCAAAATTGGTACTAAATAGTATTTGGTACCATAATTGCCTTGATCACAGCACTTATAACAGATAAATATCAACTTCAATTGTAAACTTATTTAAAGGGTGTACTCACCACTCTAACACCAGATAAACTACCAAATTGATGGTCTTGAAATTGTTCTGATATTGTCCACGGTATAAGATCTCCAGAAGCTCGTTTACCTCGAGATAAACTGGATGTTATTGAATCTCTGCTAATTTCTCCTTCAAAACAAACCTGAAAATATTAGAATTTTCTGATGTAATCGTTGATTTTTGCAGGAAACAAAGAGCACAATGAATGATGCTATGCCAGAAATTTGTACTCCTTTTAATATATATTCCTGAACAGATATATGACATTATTTAATATAATACATTGAGTGACATAAGTGTCATAATTCTGATTAAATTGTCTATATCTGGATATCCCAGAATATTAACTGACATTATTCTAATAACAACTAATACCAATATTGCATATACACCTTTTTATACATAAATACATAAAACGAATGCTCAACAATATAGACTACTCAAAATAACTTCTTCATTTTAGTTTTGAATTGGGTACCTGTAGCACACACAGTACATCGGGAATTGTCTTTTGATCAGGCTTTACCGGAGGAAGTAGACAGAATATATGATGAGCTGGTGCATCTGACAACATTTGTAAATCATTTGGAGAATTCTGCAAAATATGTTGTAGAATTGAAAACTAAATTCTCACAAAGAGTAACAGACACAGATAAGAGAATAATGTAGTCATTGAAATGCTTCATTAGAATAGTATGAATATTTGAATTGTAATTGTGAGCAATTCTTGAATTTTGCAAAGATTTTTTTTGAATAAATCCAAGGTTAGGAAAAGATTCAAGATAAATTAACTAAATCCAAGGTTAAGAAAAGATTCAAGATAAATTAACTGGAGCATACCTTGTAATGAGATGCCACATATAGAGACATTAATTTTTGCAGAAATGCTTCTGATGCTTTATGATAGCAGAACAATGTATCTCTGTTCACATAATATGTGTTGCAGGGGTTAAGAATGAATCAATTGACCAAAAGAATATTTGCACAAGAATTAAAAACACAATATATATTTGTGAAAGTATGGTAAAGTATCTTGGTTTTTCAGTTATACCAGATTAGCATCATTTACTAATACCAATGTATGTGATAGTCTAAAGCAGGGCTGTGCATTCTTGAGTATACAAGCGGACTTATCTTCAATGGCCAATTAAAAAGAGGCATATGCCAAAGATTGCTATACCAGAGTCATAGTCGAAATTTTTTGTACCATTGAGAAAGTTATGAATCCAAAAGAACACAGATGTAAATGGGAATATCTAGTCGGATAAAAATAATTTCAAATGATAAGATATCGAAAACAAAGGATATAATTCACAAGCTTCTGGCAGTGGACAACCAACAGCAATAGGTCCAAGTGGAGCAGCAGATGTACAGTTCAAACAAAGCAGATGATTCAGCCAACTTTCTATCGGGTCGTCCGGTGCATATCTAACCGATTCTTCAAGGACTATTTCATACAAAGATCGACCAAGAGGTGAACCTGTCTGTGAAAACATAACAAATTTAAATATAATATTGGAAAATGAAACAAATGTGCAAGGATCTAAAATAGAAAACTATGCAAATATAAATACATCTCAAGTCTTTAAGAATCAAATGAAATCTTACAGAATACCTTGAATAATATCATAGGATTTCACAAACAAGTTGACCCCAAAGAATGGAACCCATACGATATGTTTCAAAAGGACTGGGTTTCGTTTTTTAGGGTCACCCTATACTCACAGATTTTGAAGCAACTGCGGTAGTTGCACTTTGTTGTCTTAGCTGTTGAACAAGTTTCAACGAAAGTGATCTTCCAGTTCCTTCATACCTAACAAGATGGGTCATATATTACCATGTGAGAAAGGAAGGTTGATGTATTCCAAGTAATAGATAAGGAGCTCAGGAAGACAATTGGCTGCACAGGCATAAAAAAGTAGAATAACATCCACTTTTTTTTATATATATATATAACCCTTATGTACAAAGAAACAAGTGAAAACCATTTGCAAACGATACATACAGAAAAAAAATACATATTGTATTGCACACAACTATACCAGTTGAAACTTGAGAATGATTTTGACTGAATGAAGTTTTCTATATAACTTTACATACCATGTAGCATTTCACTAGTTTAAAACAATTCCGCCTAAAATTGATTGGGCTACATGTTTTGAATTTATAGTGACTTTATAGTGAAATATGACTCACTCATTATGATCTCATGTTATAACTCGAAATATATCGATACATACCCATTAACGGTTGAAGACATAAACACGAGATAAGGTCCAAGTAATTGTTGTACAAGAGGTAAAGGTATTGCTGCTGCTTCATCTATTGCTAGCAATTCAGCTTGACTTAACTTGGCTGCATCAGAAGGATGGATATACTAAAAATAATCAAAATCTTTTTAACCAAAATACAAATTATTGAAATTTAAAAACACATTTTAAAAGGATTTATCTATTTATTTTCCTGAAAATACTGGTTCATAAATAAAACTGGAAATCTTTTGCAGCAGATACTAAATTTTCTTCATAAAACCTAACCTGTATTATAATGCCGATTATAATAATGATCATAAGTGAACAATTGACTGCTATTCAATTATTGACATTCAACTGAATAACACCTAACTAAAATATTTTATATAATTTTAAGAAAAAAAGCATTGATAACAATAGAATTGCAAATTGATTTGGATGAGATATACCCTAGAAGAGGTATTTAACATAATCACAGGGCATTAAAATGTTTAGTTCATATGAAAAATGTGTCCTATCAAAATATCTCGGCAAGAAATTACATTGCAAAACAAAATTTCTTTCCTAGAAGACTGATTAACAACCAGCTTTAATTTTCGAGTGAATTACCTGAATGGTCTGCCTATGCTCATGAAAAATATTGACTCGAACAACAGCTTTGTTGAAAGTAGGATTGGTAGACTGTATTAGTTCATAGTCAAGGTGTTCCTATCAATTAAACAGTGCATGTTATAAAAGTTTAAAAGTGAACTAGTAAATGAATTCAGATAAAAGGATTTGGAAAATTAATAAACATGAATTAGATAATCTAGTAGGGGGGGGGGTATATTGAGCATATGGGGTTAATTGAGTACAAGGTATAAAAACCTCGCTAACTTTTTTGTATGTTGAGTGAATGGTTTGTACTTTGTAGCAACAATATTTCATATCATATGCTTCCATTTCATTGCGTATAACTCACTTGCCTACTAATGATAAAATTGTTATAGATGTTTGTATGTGAAATTTTTTTTGTTCACGAAAAAAATTGTTTTGGAAACTTTCACGTGACACTTTTCTGATAGTATATTTTAAACTTTCTGTGATGCCTCTTAGTACCTTAGTAAAGACTCTCTTTGCCCCAGTAGATAATTTTTGTGTAACTCATTGACTTTTTGTTTTATTGATGTTAGAAAAAATCGAGGTAAATTGAGTCTGTCGGTAATTTACCGTGGGGTAAATCAGGTATATGCATAAATGGCCTCTCCCACTGCTATAACACAGGATTATGAGGTTCTGTGTGACTATTTTGAGCCCTAACACTTTTTTGTAGCCTTTATCATGTCCATCTTTAAATATAGGCTTCTATTTTTCATGAATATGAGTGTAAATCCACAATGGGCAATCGTAGGATTTTGAGAAAGCAGTTCTTTTCTTGTAACTAAAAAAAATAGTAAAAAAGAAAGCTGTGGACAAGCCAAGCACAGAGTCCTACTCCACCAGTAAGCTTAGTGTATTTACAAAGGCTTTAGTTGATGTAATCACACTCACTGTCATCTCCGAAAACATGTGTTAATAATAATAAAACAGCCATCCCAGAAAAAGAATTCAGGCGAAAACTATATAACGTCAGTTGAAAGTATATACCATTATACTGATAGGATAGACTTAAAACGGATATGACTGGTAGAAAAAAGAAAAACAGCAAAGAGAAAGATCATAATATTAGTTCAGAAAAGCAGTAACAGAGTCAGAATTAGATTCGGCTTTATTGACGACGAGACAGAATATGAAACAGTATTCTCACATAGTACAGCTGATTATAACAGAGGACCAACTATAAGTAGCCTATTCTGACATTAATGAAATCAAGACCTTGACTGGCTGGTTGAAATATGGGGAAAGGGAATTCCTTGGCCAAGTTGCCCTCACCAATGTATATAAAATGAACTTTGTATGATACCAGTGTATGGAAGAGCTCAAAGATTCTGTGTTAAATTTAACCCAAAATAGGAACATAAAAGGTATCTCTGTTAAGGGAGTTGTTGGCCAAGTCGAACCACCCATTTCTAGTCCATAGTGAACTTGTATTTGAACTGAAAGCCTATTTGTGGTAAAAAGTTTATGGAAACCATAATTGCGATCTATCATACCAAGTTTAAAGTGATGTCAGATAATTATGTTCCAAGGTTTTTGAAATTACTATTTTTTAAAATAAACTATATGTACCCAAGTTTCTCATGAAGGTCTTTGATTTGGTTCTAGGGCTTTCTTAGATTTGATTTAACTGGTAGATGTCAGTATACTCAATTATCCTCGAAAAATGAGGTAAATTGAGTACACTGACTTCCAAAAAAAAATTGCATTTTAAGGTGACTTGAATAGATTGAATAAGACTCAAACAGTTATGCAAGGAAGTACAGAGTCAGAATGTTACAATGAAACCATAATTTCACGGAGATCGATTTCACTAAGATTTTACATCGGTTCAAATCTCAAAAACTACTCAAATACCCCCCCCCCCCCCCCCCCCTGCTTCACGAAACTGAAATGATGTTTCCAGCTTTAATGAAATATATTTATAAAAGAATTATTGCACAGAGAAGATAAATCTAACTGAATCTCTCAGCAAGTGCTTAATTTTGCTGAGGGGTTAAAGCTTAATTAAGTTATTATTACTGATTCACATTCTATATTTGCATCTGAACTTTAATACAATGAAGTTTCTCTGTTACAAAATACTGACAACTTTACTTTAATAAGCAATTTAAATTAAGGATTTGGAATGTTCAACAAAGGTTCTTTTAGATATTTGCAAAATAAATGATTGGTGTAAGAATATAGAGAATCATAATTTCAAAACTCATCATTAATAATAAACGATATTCAGATGAATATGAACTTAATTACTAACCTGGTATTCCAAAGCATCAAAACCTTTGAAAACGAATTCAAATAAAGTTTTCAAGTTCTCTGGACTTGGTGATGTCACAAATATGTTAGAATAACCAAATGCAACAGCGGTTGCAATTGCAAGGCCAAGCGTAGCAGATTTACCTCGTCCTCGAGCTAAAATGAAAAAAAAAACATTGCATAAAACATTACAAAGTCAAATTACAGTCACAATCCATAAACTATAGTTAAATTAAAATACATTAATTACATTTTTTCAGAATTGACTAAATTTTCTGCTATAAAGTCAGGAGTTTAAAAAGTTTATCACCAAATTTTAATAATAATTGGCCAATTTTAACAAGAAAAATTAAAAATGTTTTCTGTCATTGTAAACAAACTTAAAATGACAATATAATGAATACATATTGCAAAAATTTGGTTAGCTATTCATGCATATAAAATTAAAAATGAAACCTGCAGTCATAACAACGGTGGTTCGAAGATTTTTTTCTGTTATTGCATCAATAAATTTTAAAAGTGCTTTTCCTTGATCCATCGTCCTACAACAATTGACAATGGAACCAACAGGTTGAGTGTCCTGGATAAAACAATAAGATATTCATTATTTGATATATGATGCTTTTTCATGCCCTTTGAACCGAACAGCCCTATACAAGCAGCTACTAATATATATACCGTAATAAGCAACTGTTTAGCAGAACAGAAATCTTTCAAATTTGGCGATGCTACCCAATTTGTTTCACCCTGGGTGAAGTGGAAACCAGAGATGTGTAATCTGCTGTGTCAATGCAATTAAATCGAATGCTTCCGCCCTTACCTACTAGGCCACCACGCTGTCCCTGTGGATAGGTCAATGAATTGATATGATAGAAAAAAAATTCAAAATCAAACAGAAAAAAATAAATAAACATAAAAGATCAATTTTGTTGAGCTGTGTAATATTGTTGAGTCTTACTTGCAAACTCTCTTTGAGATCGCTCAGCTGTTTTTCTCGAGGTGTGGGAGGATCATCAGATGATTTTGGTGGAATTGCAATGATGTTGAGTGCATGAGTAGATATAGGTAAAATATTAAGTTGGTCATCCATAACAAGAGAATGTTTACAAGATGAGATTGAGAGAAGAAATCTACAAAAAAAATATAATTTATTCAAACATAGAATAAACCAGAGATTTCAGAAAATGTGTTCATAGAGCCCTGTGCTAAATCAGGCTGATGATGGGCCTATAAGGTGAACTCAATAAATTGTAAAAAACCCAAATTGAAAAAAAAACATGGTTAGGATATATTAAGAACTGACTTCATCATTACAAAACCGTAATTGCAACAGAACTTCATGAACACCATGTATTTCAGCAAATCAAATACAAAAAATTCAATCAGCAAAGTTAATCTTGTGATACCTAAATTAGGATTTTGCTATATTTTTGTTGAATTTTAGAAACTGAAAGATTTGAGAACACCAGGAAACAATATAATAAACTTGGGATTTATCATTTTTCTTACCTTTCATTAAATCTTCCAACTACATCCTGGTGAGATTCTGTGCGAAATCGGGAATGAACATCCTGAAAATAATTGTATGCATGAATAATGTATATGAATTTGTATTTATTTGATTAATATTTTCCATGGTTTTATTTCTAATGAAATTAATTTGTTTTGCATCCATTTGTCATACACCTCTACTTGTGCAGATCTGTTATTTTGCAATAGCATTTATATAGAGTTGTTTTTTAATTAGGGAATCGAAAGGAGAGATTGCCAATAAATGAAAAATCCCAGGTAGACAGTGGAGTCTTGCTACAAATTGACACAATTATATTTCTGTAATGTTTTTTCTGACCTTGAACAATACAGAAATACATTTGTGTTAATGTGCAGCGTGACTCTTGAATCACTTGGAATAGTTATCCTCACTATTGCCATAGCATCTTTGCATTATATGCATATGGATCCACCGGTGTAAAAGCACAGAATGTTTAGTAGTTAGTCCCGCAGAAACCCAATCGATAAGATAAATTTATCAATTAACATCTATTTTTTTCTCTGTCCCACAATATATTCATAGTGATCATACAATATTTTTTCTAGTCGGACACAAAAGCAAAAATGAAACTCACCATCGTCATTGTGTATAGCTGTTTAAGAGATTTCATTGTTCTCATCAATATACAAATTATTCCTCCCCCTTCAACTGTTTCAATTGTTCTCGCTAGTAAATTTGGAGTGAGAGCTTCAAAATCCTATAATAATGAGAAATCATTATTAATATGTCACACACTGGCATATTCACTTTTACTCAGCTTATGTTACCTGAAGTATACACATCCCATACGTATTTCCAAGAATTTTGTGTGTTTCATTGTAATAACAATATCGAACATTAGTAGCAGCAACGAACAATTCAAAAGGATCATCTTCATTCACATCAATTGTTCCACGAGAAATTCTTTTCTGCAGATGTCTCATGCGCTTCTTACGATTTCTGCAATAAGGTTCCTTTATTAGATATACTCTCCTGATACTGTTAAAACTCAGTTTTTTACTCCACATATTTTCGCTAACAGAATTTGTATGAAGTGATGAAAATACTCTATAAACTTTATATTTTTATTTAAGTATATCAATGGCATGCAACTATTTATACTACACAGACTGCCAAATCATCGACGACTCGTATTGTAAGTTGTAACTAACAAGAGTGTTTTGTAAAATAGTGTTACATGATATTGTACTCTTTAATTACTGCTAAGGTGCTTGACAAATCGGGCAAACCAGACCTTGATTGCATTGAACGATGAAGTATTTCGGACACTGACTGGTGTCGAATTCAAAAATGTTAATAGTGCTGTTACAAATAAGAAAAAGTATTCATAAATAATGGGATACGAAGTCTGTTATTGGTCACGTAAATAGGTTCTCTTGGACGTACCTCGACCCCCTGGCAGTATGTTGCAGGCCTCTGGTATAGATCATCGCACAGATATATTTGATGACAGTAGTATAAATATTTAAATTACACGAATAAACCATACTTACGTGCTGAATCCGAGCTCTTTTTTATAGCACCACAAAACAGATGGTCTTGCTCTTACTGCAGCTTTTGTTAACATATGATGAAGAATAACAACCTGATCTCTTCCTTTATCACCAACAATTACAAACATTGTTCGATGCTTCAGAGCGACTCCATTTTCAACTAGAACTCGAATTCTGTTGTCAATCTTTTTACGAACCATCTTTGTATACTCTTATCGCAATGCTAGTAATGACAGAATAAATAAATTGTGATACTCGTCTGAATGAAAACTAATTTAAGAAAAAATAAATAAAAAGTGTTTGTATCACAGTACTAATATCACCTTTCTACCCAATACTTGAGAGCAAATTTTCATGTATATAATGAAGCCAGGAAAGATATTGAATTGGAAAAAAAAAAGTTGGCATAACGGTGTGTATGGCAGTTTGCTTGCCAGGTAACTTAATGAAAAAAGTTGAAAAGTATACAACAATACAGTACAGATTCTAAGAATATCCCCACATTAACGAAGTGCAATCTGGAAACGACACCATTAGATTCCTTGAAAAAAATAATTAATTTACCGTGATTGATTCAAATTTTTATTTTAACAAGCGTGGCGCGATCTGACACATCTGCCGTCATGCCTGACGCCCTTGTTTCAGAGACAGATGGAGTGTTCGTTTTACTGATACCAAATGTCGGAGTATTTTGGAATCGGAAAACTGTGCCTTACTGGATTCGAATTAAGAACTGAGGAAGGAGAGAATTAGCATATTTATCCCGCGATCATGTGAACTACTAGTCATCCAGTCCAGCGATCTTCTCTCCATTCTCCAATATATTTATCCCCAACGAAATTCGAACCCATGCATGGTGAACAGTAGTGCGCGATGGCAAGTGGACCATATTCAAGTATTCATAAGGCATAGCATAGGCTAGATAGAATCCATTTTAATTCATTCGCAAAAAAACAAGACAATACAGATAGCAGGATAGACGTGTTACCGCACCGAAGAAGCAGAACAAGTCGCAACCCAAACAAAAAATACAGACAGTGCAGCAGTGAGTCATTACTCACACGTCTCACTTCAGAACTTTGTAATCCGGATGGGTGAAATTTAATTGGGGACAAAACATTGCACTAAATACCGAAATTTGGAAATAGCTGATGCGCATGCAGGCGGAAAAATTATTTGTAGATTCAGGGAAAATATAATCGAAGTGTGAATGCATGTTTGTTTTTTATGCTTGAGAATCAAAAATAAATGTGGTAATTATCATACAGTACAGCAGTAGGGTGGCCCACCCACTTTGCGGCCACGACCTATTTGCGGCCATCGACTTCATCGATCTAATTAATGCAGAAAAAAATAATGAACCGCGACAATATTTCTCACACGTAATTATCCACTTGTCCCTCATAGCTCTGCGAAATTACACTAAAATGCGGCCACAAACAAAAAAGTTACGACCGAAAACCCAACCGAGGAAAAATAACGGACCATTTTTTCATGTCGCCAACTACCCATTGTCCCATTAAAAAAACTTAAAAATCCATACAAATATAAGAGATAAGAAGATGAAACTTGGCAAGGGGGTAGAGTTGTGTTTCTTTTAACCATCTTTAAACTTTCGCGTTTTTACATTTAAAGGAGGGGGGGAATAGGGGGATGCGCATTTCCAATACGTCGATAATATTTTTGTTGACCAATTTGCGACCACCGTGTTTTGTCTGTTTGATTGCTGTGATGCGGTGCTTTGTATATACGAGGTGTGGCTAAAAAGAAACGAGACTGACGTCACAGATTGCGCAACACGATTAACCATTGGTAATCAACACTTTTACAGTGTGGTGTAATATGTGTTCTTTGTTCAACAGCTTTTTTGACACAATATCGCAATTATTTTTGCTCTTTAGGAGCCATAGGTGAATGTGATTAATTGCTTGTTGAAAAAAAAATTGCCGTGCGAGATCTGATTGAGTTTTTTGGCGATAGGGGGTTCAATTGCAGAATGACGATTGAGCAATGAATTAACATTAAATTTTGTGTCAAACTTGGAAAAATGCATGTCAACTGGGCAACATTTAATCGTTGAGCTTTCTGCTCCTCAGTCAACAGCCTTGGCACCATTTTGGCACTCACCTTTCACAAGCCAAAAGTGTCAACCAAACTGGTGCAAACCGTTTTTTTTTTGTCTTTTCCAACTTCGCAATGACGCGAATTGTTGAGCGACGGTCGCTGCGAATCAACTGCCTTTCACAACTGAACTCACAACTGATACCTTTTCGATGTTGGTATCAGTTGTGGAAGTGCAAGGCCTTCCTGACTTCGAATCATCCTCCACATCCTCCCTGCATCCCACAAATCGCTTGTGCCATTCAAAAACTCTTGTTCTGGACATGGAAGAATCTCCATAAACATCACACAATTTCTTCAAAGTCGCAGTCGCCGTTTTTCCAAGTTTGACACAAAATTTAAGGTTAATTCATTGCTCAATCGTCATTCTGCAATTGAACCCCCTATCGCCAAAAAACTCAATCAGATCTCGCACGGCAATTTTTTTTTCAACAAGCAGTTAATCACATTCACCTATGGCTCCTAAAGAGCAAAAATAATTGCGATATTGTGTCAAAAAAGCTGTTGAACAAAGAACACATATTACACCACACTGTAAAAGTGTTGATTACCAATGGTTAATCGTGTTGCGCAATCTGTGACGTCAGTCTCGTTTCTTTTTAGCCACACCTCGTAATTTGACGAGTTTTGTTCGAAAGAACCGTGTTCTTAAAATATAAGACGATCAAAAATGCAATTAGAAGCCCAATTTTTTTTACGCATGGCTGCGTATGCCCTAATCTCGATGCAGCAGAAATGATGTTCAAGGGTTGAAATCCGTGGTCGCACACTGCAGCACTGGTCGTTTGGTCGCAAATACGTCTTTCTGTCTTCTGAGTGTCATACTTCGGTGGTTTGTATAGCTTTAACCCCTGGTCGTAGAAAGTTAATTCGAGGTTTAGCGTGTAGAATAAATGCCAATGCACCAACGGTAAAAAAATTAACGGGTTAGAAATATTGGTTTTTGTTTTATAGCGATTTGAATGAAATCGTCCGCAGACTGGCTACACCACACCACCCTAGGCCTAGTATTACCTGAAACGTTCAAAAAAAATGTAAAAAACGATAATAATACCTAATAAAATACCTAAACTATAATGGAGAAACGATTTCGGCACTGCAAAAACAAAATTACAGGCTAAGTCTCGAGCGAGTTCAGAAGTTGTTTGCGACACCATGCTGCCATGCGCAATTCCCAACATTAAACTCAATTGAACAAGACTGCAAGATATAGCCTACCATACCGTATATCCCTAACACATACATTCAAATACTATTTTTGTTTATTGAATAAGAAACACCCAAATTGCAGAATTGAGGTAGTCTATTGCAAAATAGCATCCTAGCGCTAAAGCGTAAACAGAACATACGAACAAATGCGCACATGTGGACACCAGACATGCTTTGCCTTCAAGCGCAGAGAACAACAACAAATTCATTGCCGGGTTCAAAGGTCGTTTTGCTTCAAAGGTGGGTTATCACGCAAACATTTTTGTGGCAAATTTGATTCCATATATTTTTTCGTGATTTTTGACGTTTACCGCTTGCATTAAGTAGACTTCGTTTGCGAGACTCAAATTTTTCAATAATCGATCCTGCCGAAATCGAACGCAAATTAGAATTTCCCGTTGATGACGTGCATTTTCTGTAGCAATGTTACTATCATATTTTCCAGTTTATTAATTACGGATTAACGCATACCAGGCTATTTTTTGTCTTGAATCATATAGATTTTATATTTTGTGTGGGTGTATTCTGCTTTCCTGATTATGTAACCAGTCCCTTTGTTATACTGTCGGCATATATAGACTATATTAGAATTGGCCCAATGTGCTTTCAAACACTAGCGAATGCGTAGATGGTGGTTACTGCAAAATTCACAGTGATGGGTTTCTCCCGAAGCACGAAACAGAGAGAGAGAGAGAGAGAGAGATTTTATTATTTCGTCAACCAAAAAACGTAAAAAATAGTCATCAGTAAAATAGCACTAGCAAAAAAATTTTTTTTTTGGTATGGACAGGAGGAAGCGATACGACCATACGGTCATCGAAGTCAGCTCCCACCATATATGCTGATTTTATTAAGATAACACTGAAAGATGACCAGTGACAAAACTACTTAAACTATTACATTAATATTTTTACAATAAAATTCTGAATAAAATTAGGAGACTCGTGGGTAAATGCATTGTTATGAGTATTTTTAAAAGAAAGAAAATAGAAGAAAACAAAAAAAGAAGGGGGGTGTCCTATGTTAATCTAAAGCGACCAGAATAATGCTATGGAAATTTAATATTTAGCTGAAAACTAAATTACTAAATTCATAAATTCAATTGGGCTTGAAACGATAATAAATAGAAATAATAAATAATTGGATATATATAAACAGTGGATCAGGGACAAAATTTTAATGTGACGAGAATGTGGAAAATATTTTAGTGCAACTTAGTGATACATACACAGTATTAGGAAAGTAAATAACAAAAACATGAAAATATTAATTGAACTCCCGTAGTATGTGTACCATGTTTGGGCCAGACCCAAATCCTATCAAGACCTTCTTTATCTTAGTTCCATCAGGGGCTTGGGAGCAAATGAGTTTCTTTCCAAACAGGACTCAGTCACCTCATATAACCCGATGTAAAGCAGGCGAACAAAACCAGTTACCCGCCCACTGGTACACATACTACTACATACATTAATTAATCAACAACACATAGCAATATCATATACACCAAAATATATGAAAAAAGCACCATTCCATTGATCAACAATAGCAATGATAGTAATTAAATAAACACTGGTATGGTGAAAGGACCTTGACACAAACCTGCAACAATGTAGAGCAGTAAGTTGTGTGTATTGAGAAGAAATATTACAAGTGATTTGAGCTATGGGAGTGGAACTTATCCATTACACAACACAACTAAAAATACGAATATAGTCAGGAATGACTGAAATGCAGGGTAAAAGTAATTGGAATTGCACAATCAATTTGGCTAAGAGATTTAACATTATTCAATTATGACAAGTGCAACTGCACAACATATACCGTAATGAAAATTGAGCAATTAGAGGAAACTTTGTTCCAAAAAATCTCGAAATATAATAATAGATACCACACATAACTGATAACATTTGAATTGAACAACAATGATAGTAACTATTATAGTGACAAACAATTGTGATGCAGAGATGAAATTTGACATTTTGGTAATTCCATTCTTGCAAGTAATGAAAATAAAGAGCATCATTGGGAAAGTTAACTATGAAAAGTACATATGCTAAAAGCAGTCAAATTTTATCAGGTAACAATATAAGGGTTTACGCCTACGGTAACTACTATAACCTCATATTATGTCAAAAAG